CTAAATTACACTGGGAACATTTGGAAGGGGTCCTCCCTCTCCATGATTACTTTCGTTTTTCCTTTTAACAAACCACATGGAAAAGCAGAAAGGAAGAAGATGTGGGGCACTTGCATCCATGTGGCATGTCAGAGAGGAAGATAATCTTCCTCCACCCTTCTGGGTTCTTCTGGTCTAAGGATTAAATTGACACCTGTCAGATTAACAGGAGAAAATCATACATAACTGGTGTACATGGAAGAGGGGCTTCCCAGGTGGTGCTAGTGGTAAAGAATTCACCTACCAGCTCAGGAGATCTGAGAGAGCCGAGTTCGATCCCTGGGTTGGGCAGATCCCCTGGAGGAGGAAATGGAATATCTCCAGAGTTCTTGCCTGGAGAATCCCATGGACAGAGGAGTCTGGCTACAGTCCACGAAGTTGCGAAAGAGTCGCACATGACTTAGGGACAACAGCCATACATGGGAGATACCAAGGAAAACTTGAGTAACTCTCCAAAATGGCCAAAGCCTTCACCTTCAATACCGTCCTCAGCAGGCAGACAAGGATGTTGAGGGTGGGGAGAGTCAGTTCTGGGAGGTTCCCAGGAAGACCACAGTAAACCTGGGTGAGGTTGTCCTGAGATTTCAGTCCCTGACCTTTCACTGATAAGATACAGATTTGGACACCCTTACACATGGAGATTTCCCTTACAAATGTTAATGTTTCTTCCAAAAGACCAACTCCTCCTGGGTTTTCAGTGTTTTTGCTTTCCCTGCTGTTTCTTAGAGAATAACCAGCTTGAAATAATTAATATGCCAAAGCGACATATTTTAGGGGAGCAGATTCTGCTGCTTCTAAAGCAGATTCCTACACAGCACAAGGGCCCTGTGGGTCCCCTGGGCTGCTTCCTCCACCGGGCTGTCTTTGGTGTTGCCCAGTGGGCGGCTCCTTCGCCGCGGCCTAAGCCCCTTCTCCCATAACTGTTGGGTGTTTTGATACAGAGAGCTGACCCTCTACCCTGCAGCCTCACTACATGGTAAAAATAAAGGCTTTCCATAAAGGTTTTCTGGTTTTAGCAGAAGTTCTGATATCTATGCACATGCATACACGTCTGGAAATGAAGATTAACAGCTGAAGAAAGGGGACTGTGAAAGGGACAGTCAGAAGTTTGTCACTGTTTTAAGCAGGTATATTTTGTACAATAAGAATGTCTAACTCTTAATACATGTTCTCATCAGTCCAGAGCAGTTGCTCAGTCATGTCCAACTCTTTGCAACCCCACAGACTGTGACTGCAGCATGCCAGGATTCCCTGTCCATCACCAACTCCTGGAGTTTGCTCAAAATCATGTCCATTGAGTCGGTGATGCCATCCAACCATCTCATCCTCTTTTGTCCCCTTTCCCTCCTGACTTCAATGTTTCCCAGCATCAGGGTCTTTTCCAATGAGTCAGTTCTTTACATCAGGTGGCCCAAGTATTGGAATCAGCATCAGTCCTTCCAGTGAATATTCAGGATTGCTTTCCTTTAGGATTGACTAGTTTGATCTCCTTGCAGTCCAAGGGACTCTCAAGAGTCTTCTCCAACACCACAGTTCAAAAACATCATTCTTTGGTGCTCAGCTTTCTTTAGGTCAATTCTCACATCCATACATGACTATTGGAAAAAACATAGCTTTGACTAGATGAACCTTTGTTGGCAAAGTAATGTCTCTGCTTTTTAATATGCTGTCTAGGTTGGTCAGATTTTCTTCCAAGGAGCAAGTATCTTTTAATTTCATGGCTGCAGTCACCATCTGCAGTGATTCTGGAGCCCAAGAAAATAAAGTCTCTCACTGTTTTCATTGTTTCCCCATCTATTTGCCATGAAGTGTCAGGCTTCAACAGTACATGAACTCTGAACTTCCAGATGTTCAAGCTGGATTTAGAAAAGGCAGAGGAACCAGAGATCAAATTGCCAAAATCCATTGGATCATCGAGAAAGCAGAGAGTTCCAGAAAAATATCTACTTCTGCTTTATTGACTATGCCAAAGCCTTTGTGTGGATCATAACAAACTGGAAAATTCTTAAAGAGATAGGAATACCAGATCACCTTACCTGCCTCCTCAGAAATCTGTATGCAACAGTTAGAACCAGACATGGAACAACAGACTCATTCCAAATTGGGAAAGGAAAATACGTCAAGGCTGTATATCGTCACCCTGCTTATTTATCTTATATGCAGAGTACATCGTGCAAAATGCCGCGCTGGATGAAGCACAAGCTGGAATCAAGATTGCAGGGAGAAATAGCAATAACCTCAGATACGCAGATTACACCACCCTTATGGCAGAAAGTGAAGAACTAAAGAGCCTCTTGATAAAAGTGAAAGAGGAGAGTAAAAAAGCTGGCTTAAAACTCAACTTTCAAAAAACCAAGATTGTGGCATCCGGTTCCATTACATGTTCTCATAATTACTTTTAAATTAAAAGGCACAATGACTGCATTATAAGGGTACGAGTCTGGAAAAAAACGATGCAATGGCTGGCTTGTTCTTGTATGCATTTCATTGGGAACCATGTTTTAGTCTTTCTTAATGTCTTGAAACATTTCCTAATTTCAGGCTTACCACCACTGTCTGATCTGAGCCAGAAGTTAAGATTAAAAAATAAAAGGACTTGGGTCTGAAAATGAAAATGCATAGTTTTCCTAGGACATGGAGCTTGGGAAATACCAAATACTTGGGAATGTTTATCAGAAAAAACCGTGAGTCAAGGAGGTTTTCAAAATCGCGAGGCTCCTGACTAACTTGACTGAAGAAGAGAAAGGAAGGGACCAGCAGTTGCTCTGCTGCTTTCACTCTTTGCTTCCTCAGTTCACTGTTACTGCCAGGATTGGGGTCAGCCGGGGAAGTGGTGGGGAGTGGGGCTTTGAAGTCCCAGTGGCCTAGGGTCAAGCTCCTTTTCTGTTAGCTGTGTGACCTCAAGCAAGTTAATGAACCTCTCTGAGTCCCAGTGTCTGCATTTGTCAAATGGCCTTCATAGGCTTATTGGGATGATTCAATGAGAAGATTCGGAAAGATTTTAAACACCCATAACTGCAAATAACACCATTGTTTTCTTCCTGGTTTTTCATTTATTCATCCAAGATTCTGATTTGATGGGCCCAGAAAAATGGTTTTTAGAAGGCACTCTGAGAGTTCTAATGTCTTCAAGTCCACACCTTGTGAAATGCTGTTCCTGGGAGATCAGGAGCAGTTTGGGCATCATGGTGGAGGGCAGGGCTGCCACTTATATGCACAAAGTCTGCGTGTCGGTGGGGCACGCATAGCTGAGCTCCAGACCTGCAAGGCTCCCGGCAGTGACTGTTTTCGGGGGAGGGTGCAGAGGGTGGTGTGTATGTGTTTGTATGTTGGTGTTACGCAGGGTGTGCTTGGACACTGAAGAACATTCCCTCTGGGGGAGCACGAAAGGTGGGGGACAAGAGAGCAGGGTGGGGGTCCATGTGTGCGGTGCCAGGGAGCTCAGCCCAGGAAGTAGTGAGAAGCCCCGGAAGGGCAAAGACATGATAAGGTCCTGCAGAGGGGCAGACCAAGAGAGTGAGACAGTGATTGTGAGAGTGTGAGAACCAGTGAGAGAGCGAGCTTGCAGGCAGGCAAAAGCCGTGTGCGCTGAGGAGGGGAGAAGTTTGAGAGAGGGGTTGGAGGATGCGTGGAAGGAGTCTGATTGTGCTGCTTGCTGAGAAAGAGGCAGCAAGAGTTAGTGATGACTTGGAGGTTCCAGTTAGGTGACCTAGTGATTCTCTGCGGAGACAGGTCGGGAGGAGCAGGTTTTCTTGGAGAGAAGAAGGCAAGGACTAGCTCCCGCTGACTGTATGTAAAGTGCTGAAGTGACCCTCGGGCCTTAAGTACCTGGAAGTCAGGGAGGAGGCCTGCGAAGGGGTCAGAGATCTAGGATCTGAAGCTTCGGCCTGCAGGCGGGCCTGAGGCAGTGTGTGGAGGGCACACCGAGGTGGTCCTAGGAAAAGCCAATTGCCAGGAGCTGATGAAGCTGGGAGATGAAGCACCTGGAGCGGGGAGAGGCCCCCGAGACGAGAGGAGGGCGGAGACCAGGTGAGGGACACTGGAAGCCACCGCTGAGCCTGTCACCTGCTTCATCTAGAGTTGGTCCCTGAGGACGGAGCGGGCCCCTTGGGCTTGTTGGGCGGGGGTCCTCGGTGCCTCTAGCTCCAGTGGTTTCTATACGTGGGAAAAAGCAGAAGGCTGGTGGCTTTGAGTCTGGGAGAGGACGGGGAGTGGGAGGCTGAGATGGGGAGTTCTCCCTTGAGACCTCCCGTGAGGCTGAGCGGGGCAGAGCAGGGGTGGGGATGCAAACACCAGGTCAGGAAAGTGGAAGGACCAGTGAATTGAATGGGGGAGCTGTCCAGGCCCTTCATTTCCCGGAAGTGCTCTATCTGAGGGAGGAGGCTGGAGAAGCAGGTGAGAAGACCTTGGAGTGAGGGGGCGAGCAGCCTCTGTGGGAACCAGGAGGAGGGACGGGAGGCCAGCATGGCGGGGCGCGGTGGACGGACGGGCTGGAGACGTGCGGCGTGGGGATTCGGCGCGGTGACCTGTGCGCGGTGGACGGATGTGCTGGAGACGTGGGGCGTGGGGATTCGGCGCGGTGACCCTGTGCGCGGTGGACGGATGCGCTGGAGACGTGGGGCGTGGGGATTCGGCGCGGTGACCCTGTGCGCGGTGGACGGATGCGCTGGAGACGTGGGGCGTGGGGATTCGGCGCGGTGACCCTGTGCGTGGTGCTGCTGGTACCCGGGGTGTGAGCTGACCGGCAGGGCTTCACCTGCACACTCCAAAGTCCCCTCTATCCCTGTGGTTTTGAGTCCTGCTGGACTGGGGAGCGAGGGGGCAAGAATAGCCTTGAGAAGTGAGAGTTATCCCACCTGTCAGCGTTTCTGGAGAAACATAGTATGATCATTTTGAAGACTTTCATAATTATTTGTATAAAATTACATGTTTATAAAACTGTTTTTCTTTTCTTGTTCTAGTGATGATCACAATGCCTCTTCAGAAGAAAAAGGTATGTACTCTAAGTCAACGTTGAGTAATCGAAAAACTCAAGCTGCACTGTGTGGAAATTTGCACTTTTAGAAAATGATTTCTTTATTCATTTTATTTATTGGCTGCAACTGCTCATTACATTCATGCAGTCACCAACTTACAGAAATGGTGTTGAAATAATCAGTAGGTTAGGATGATGGGATAGTGACAGTTTTTCAGAATTTTCCTTAAGATTATTTGTCAACAGATATTTAAAACAATGAAATGTAAAGAATTCATACCTTTGTGGTTTTTATAACTTAAGAACAGAAAACAAATGCTCTTACATCTCTTTCCTTTTAAACTCTTGCTCTAATGTTCTTTTTAACCTTATTTTAAATTCAGTAGAGTAAGAATGGAGAAGCATTGTCAACGGAATTCTCTAATTGTTCTATGCACGAGTAGATATTTTCTTTAATACTTGAGTGTTATCATCAATTATAGATCCTTAATGAAAATAGCAACACCTAATTCTATCCCTGAAACTGGGTCAAGTAAAACCTCTGCTATTCAAAGAAGGTCATGGTCTAGGTTTAGGGGTTGCTGAGGCTTGAGTCCCTTCTCTCAATTTCTCTCTCTGACCAGCAAAGTACCGGCGCCTTCCTTACTTTCATATTGTCCTGATTTCATTTGTGTACTGCATGGTCCTTCCCTGTCCTCACACATGCTATTGGCTAGGACTTGGATTTCTCCTAATTTTTGCAGACTGCCCATCACACAGTGGACAGCAAGTCAGTGAAGGGACAGTAGTCTCTGCCTGCGCCAAGGGAAAGCAGTCAACCAGCAATCGAGCCCCTTCTGTTCACCAGCCTGGCGTGGGTGAATGTTCCAGACAGATGAAACGGAAGAGTGCTAGGTGCTGTTCCATGAGCCATCTGATTGAGCGTGGCATAAATACAGATGAGGGGCCTGGTAACTAAGTGGCCGTCCTTCCCTACACAGAAATACTCTTGCTCTAGTTGATATTGTTGGTAACTTCTGCAACAGTTACCCCTTCTTTTCGTTTTCTATAATATTTACTATAATATCTCCATTCCCATGCACCTACACTGGCCTTGGCTCTTATCACTTCGTAGCTGAATCTCTGCAGCGGGGTTTTAGACTCTCTGGAGTCTAATGCATCTTGAACAACAGTACCCACCGCCCCCGTCACCAAAGTCCACCAGCATCTAGGGGAACACCAAGGCCCATTTCAGCTGGAAGTACTCATGTAATTCTGCATCTCCGTGTCATTCCCTGTAGGAGAACCATCCCCCAAGGCCAGTTCTTTTCAATTTGCATTTGAGGCCCTCCCTAGTCTGGTGCCGACTTCTCTGGATCCTCACCTCCAACCTGTCTGTGTCATTTCACTAAATTGGTGGTGGTGGTTTGCATGAATTGACTGTTCAGTGGGAAAGGACTCTGACTCTTGTATAATAACACCATTGTCTGCTCTTCAGTTACAAAATCTAAAACCAGGTGTTTTTTTTCCTTTTCTGGTGTCAAGTTACTTAATCACCAGGGGTGTTTTTAGGGAGCGGCTAAGTTGATCAAACAAAGAGACAGTGCCACTCCTTTGGCACAGAACTGAGAGGTTGCCAGGGACCCAACCAAAGGTCGTTATAAAGTTTATTGGCTTTCTGTTTGCACTCTTGGAAAAGGCTTAAGGTTGCTTGGTCTAAATCTTTTTTTCCTTTGAGAATATGGCCTTGCTTACCATTTGTAACTGGGTTTTAATTTGACTTGCAATGCCACTTTGGATTTAAAGAGGTGATTCAGTTTATAGAAGAGGAAACTGCTGTTATTTTTGGTTTAGCAATTTTTTACAAAAATGAACACAATCTTCTATTTTATCCTTGTATTTATACTACTAAACTTGATTTCTTTCTCAAAATTTAGATTGCCCCAGCTCCAACCTAGATACTTCAGGGGACTCTAAATCAGGTAAGAGATATGATTAACATTGGTAAATGTCCAAATGAAATTTTTATGAAATAACCAATTCATCACAAGATAAATAACAATTTATTCTTCTGTTTTACTTCAAGCAATCTTCATGAAAGATAGGAGCTTTCATCTTTCTACTTGAAAGAACTGATTAAGTTTTAAACTTTCATGGTTACCTAGCCTAGTGAAATCAGTAACTTAAACTTCAGTGATGAAGCTGTACTTAATGAAACTGAGAATTTATCTGATGAGGCAACTGGACCATTTTCTAGATTGGTTTCGCTAACCTAATACAGGGTCCTGTACGAGTCCAGCCAGGTGGTGGATACTTGGCTGGGGTAGTCCTGGGAGATTTTCCTGAGGAGGTGATGGTTGACTTGAACTCTGAAGGATGCATTGCAGTAACAGGGCAAAGGTGGGGACAAGGGTTATATACTTGCAGGTGTAAATGTCCCCATGTGGGGAAGTGCACAGTGCTTGTTTGCAGAGACTGAAGAAGGTCAGATGACTGGAATCAGCGAGGAGAGAGGTGGCAGGGCCAAAGTGCGTCTGTAGAGCAGGTGGGGCTAGATTGCATAGGACCTTTGGATTACAAAATCTTTACTCCAGAGTGGATGTACAAATGACCAATAAGTACTTGAAAGATGCTCAGTATTATTTCAGGGAAATACAATTCAAACCCACAGAAAGATGCCACTTCCCAGCCACTGGGGTGACATGAAAAAGATAATAGCAAGAATTGTCAAGGATGCGGAGAAATTGGAAGCCTCATACACTGCTGATAGAGGGCTTCCCCAGTGGCTCAGTAATAAAGAATCCTCCTGCAGTGTAGGGGATGCAGAAGATGTGGGTTCAGTCCCTGGGGTGGGAAGATCCCCCTGGAGGAGGAAATGGCAGCCCACTCTAGTATTCTTGCCTGGAGAATCCCACCAGAGGAGCCTGGTGGGCTACAGTCCACGGGGTCCCAGGGAGTCAGACACGACTGAACACCCACACCCACCCACCGCTGATAGGAATGGAGATTGACACAGCCACCTGGGAGAAGAGTTTGGTAGTCCTCAAAGAGTTAAATATAATTGCCTCTTGACCCAGGAACTTCTCTCCCGTGTGTATAGCCAAGAGAAATGGAATCGTATGTCTACCAAAGAACCTGTGCATGAATGTTCACAGCGGCATTATTCATGCTATTCAAAAGTTGGAAGCAACCCAAAAGTCCATCAAGTTTTAAACGCGTAAACAAAATGTGGTGTGCCCATTTGTTTGCTGCGACTGCTGTGAGAAAGTGCCCTAGACTGGGGAGCTTAACCAGCAGAAGTATGTTGTCTCACATTCTGGGGGCTAGATGTCCGAGTCAGGATGTTGGCAGGGTTGGTTCTCTCGGAGGACTAGGAGGGAGGGTCTGTTCCAGATCTCTTTCCTGGCTTTGTAGGTAACCATCACCATGATCTCATGATGTTCTCCCTGTGGTGTGTCTCTGGGTCTGAATTTCCCCTTTTGGTAAGGACACCAGTCATCTTGGATTAGTGTCCACCCTGATGACCTCATTTTACTTAAAGGTAAATACTTCTATGAAGACTGTATCTACACATAAGGTCATGTTCTAAGGTACTGTGGGTTAGGACTTAAAACATGAAGTTTTTGTGGGGGGACACAATTCAATATTATAACGCCACACAGTGGAATATTATTCAGCCATAAAAAAGAACGAAGTGCTGATACATGCTACAACATGGTGGAACCTTGGAAACATGCTCAGTGAGAAAAGCCAGGTACAAAAGCCCATCTCTTATGTAATTCCATTTATGGAATTTATCTGGACATTTATGGAATGTCTAGAATATGCAAATCTATTCAGGCAGGAAATAAGAGCATTGGTTATCTAGGTCTAGGGGGAATGGGGAGATTGGAAGTGATAGTTAAAATGTACAGGGGATTTTAGGGGATGTTGAAAATGAAAAACTGATTGTTGTGATGGATGTACAGTTGTTGTTGCTTAGTCGCGTCCGACTCTTTGCGAACCCATGGACTGTAGCCCACCAGGCTCCTCTGTCCATGGTGCTTCTCTAGGCAAGCATACTAGACTGGGTTGCCAGGCCCTCCTCCAGGGGATCTTCCCAACCCAGGGATTGAACCCAGTTCTCCTTCATTGTAGGTGGATTCTTTACCGTCGAAGCCACCAGGGAACTGTGAATACATGAAAAGCCATTGAGTTGTACACTTTGAATTATGTAGTGTGTGAATTAGATCTCAACGCGGGAGACCTGGGTTTGGTCCCTGGGTTGGGAAGATCCTCTGGAGAAGGAAATGGCAACCCACTCCAGTACTCTTGTCTGGAAGATCCCATGGACAGAGGAGCATGGTAGGCTACAGTCCATAGGATGGCAGAGTCGGAAACGACTGAGCGACTTCACTCACTCAAGGTTGTTATAGAAAAATAAAAAAAGTTATATCAGAAGAAAAATACCTGAAGCTTGTCATCCAGAAAAAAAAAAATCCATGTCTTCTTGGAAAAACTTAAGCTCAATCATTTCTGTGCCCAGGGCCGTTCGTCCTGAACCATTTTCTGGGACTGTGGTTTTTGCATGCTTGATTTACTTCTGTGATTAGGTTTATGTGCAACAGAATATATTTAGGACAGACAAGTAGCGAAAGTTGTCCCTCTAGTTTGTTTTCTTGCCCTTGTCATTTCTGAAAACAGGGCCACTTGGCAATCTTGTTGCCAGGTGGGAGTTTTTATCTTTATATCTGGAAGTTTAAGTATATTTTCCCCTTTTTCATCAAGGTGATTTTGTGCTGGTTTGGTGATTACATCAGTTATCTTTATGAGTTTTCTGTGTTCCTAGTGACTAAAGAAGAATGGTCCCTAAAGTTGTGCTAAGTACCCTTTGGTTTTAACGTCAAGTAAAAAAGTAGGAGAACGATGGTTTCGTAATATGCAACCAAAATGAAGATTAGAAGGAGATTGTGCAAGAACCGCTGTCTACGAAAGGAGGAGAAGGCCTGCTGCTGCCAACAGTGTCTGAAATTGAGAGTTAAAAATGTTCGAATGCAGAGTATAGTAGATAATTCAGATTCTCGAGTGAGGGGAGAGACACTTCAGGTCAGAGTGGGGTGAAGCCTTCTCAGCTGGCTGAAGGGAGGCTGGTTAGGAGGTGTAGGTGGGAATCCCCTGGAGGTCCGGTGGTTAGGACTCCACACTTTGACTGCTGCGGACCGGGCTTCTCGACCGGATGAGGCATGGGACTTGGAATTTCAGTTTGCCTGCTGTCACATTCCTGCTGTTCCCCTTCTCACCTTTTTGTCCTTCCTTTCAATTTTTTTTTTTTTTTAAGATTTATTTTAAAAAGTTTAGCCTATTTTTAGTGGAATAAAATGGGTCAAAGAAAGGGGTGTAGGTTTTCTCTGCATCTAGGCTGGCATTCAGGACAGCTGGGTGTGGTGAAGGTGGAACCCATCAGGATGAGAAAATGAGAGAAAAGAAACTCAGCGTCGGGGACTGTTTGCATGCTAGCTTCCCCAAACAGGGATCCTGCTGCTAGAACTCTAACCTATGCAAATGTGGGGAGGGTTTAGTGCTGGTTGTAGCATGCTTGGGCTGGCCTGTCACTGGAGTTTAGGGGTGTGACCTGTTAGTAAAAATCGCTACCTCTTAAAAATCGTGACTACTGTGTATGAGGCCCCGGGCTGGTCACTCTTCACATACTTCTCATTTAGTTCTCAAATATGTGCCATGAGACAGAAAAATGGTCCTGGGGGCTTGAGGGGGCTTGCAGGGCAGGGAAGCAGAAATAGAAATCAGGAGTCTTAGGCCCCAGACCAGAGGGAAGGTGAATTGAAGGGATGGCCCAGACTCCACTTCCCAGGGACCTGGAGCAGAAGGTGGGCCTCACCTGGGGCTGGTCCAGGCAGAATTACATCCCTGCAGAGATCCCAGGGGCTTCCTAGGTGGCGCTAGTGGTAAAGAACCCGCCTGTCAATGCAGGAGACGTGAGAGGCAGGTTCGATCCCTGGGTCAGGAAGATCCCCTGGAGGATGGCACAGCAGCCCACTGCTCTGTTCTTGCCTGGAGAATCCCATGGACTGAGGAGCCTGGTGGGCTACAGCCCATGGGGTCTCAAAGAGTTGGACACGACTTGGCACGCATGCGCGCACACACAGACACGCAGAAGTCCCAGACTGCTAGAGGGAACTGGCAGAATAAAGACATGGTCGGGGCGGCTCGGTTCTTTAAGGCGGGGCAGAGCATTTGTCCGTTCACACATTCATCGTTCATGGAGCATCTATAGCAATGGGTGCCAGGGGGATCAGGGCGGTGAGACATGGCCTCAGCCTTGCAGGGTTCATCCACCAACAGCTCAGCAAGCAGCCACTGCTTGACGGGTAAACGGATGGACTGGAGAGAGGCATGGCTCATCTGACTTGGTGGGGCAGAGGGAGTCGGTCCGCAGAAGTGACTTTGGGCTGGCTTCTCATGGATACCTTGGGGTCTGGAGGTGGGGTCTGGAGGGCTATCCAGGCAGTGGAATGGTGTGTCTGAGGACTTGGAGGAAGGAGTGGTAATCACGCTGGGGTGCAGCTTGGGGAACGAGGAAGTGATTACAGTGGGTTGGTTTTCAGCCATGGTTCTCAGCCCTGGCTGTACATTCCAGTTATCTGGGGACCTTTACCAAAAATGCTACCCCCGATTAGTCAGTACCCACTAAGGAAGGGCAGAATCCCCGGCATGGGTGTGTGTGTGTGTGTGTGTGTGTGTGTGTGTGTGTGTGAAGCTCCCTTGGTGGTATCAGTGTGCATCAAGGTTGAGAATCACTGCTCTGTGCTTTGAGCCCTGGAGGACCAAGGCCACGTCTTATCACTTTTGATTTCCCGGCCCCTGTCTCAGTGCCTCGCCTTTCACTCAGGCATCATCTCATGTAGGAACCACCTCCTGCTCCCCTTCTTCCCACTCATCCTGTCGATCACCAGCTCCTGGGTGTTAAACTGCTGAAGCAATAAGAAGCATGCTTGCAAGTGAAGCAACATGGTAAAGAATGCAAGTTCAAGCTGGACTACCCAAGTTGATATCTTGGCTTCAGACTCCCTGGGTGGAGAATAGGAGGTATTGGGGTGGGTGGTAGTGGTGGTCTTACATAAGGAAATTAACTGACCTCAGCCTACCTCATTGGGCAGTTGTGAGGGCTAATGTGTTAACATATATAAAGCTCTTACATAAATATATGTAGATATATGTATGCACAATGAGTAATAAATGTAATTAATGAATACATGTAAATAAGTAAGTATATATACTGTATAGTGCCTGGGACATAGTGAACACCCCGGAAAAACTGCTCTTAGCTGCTATATGATTGTTCTCATCTTTATTCTCAAATCTTTTTTTTCCTCCTTATGGCTATTGCCCATCTTTAGTTTTGGTTGTTAGTGTGTGTGTATGGAGGGAAGATCTGAGAATCGTATTAATAGCTTTCCATGTACTTATTCAAGGGATCCCAAGCAGGGTGAAGCAGGAGGAGCACTTGAAGGTGGTGGATGAGGGAGAGAGCGGTGCCTTGTTGCTTGTCTGCTCTGTCAGGAACAGGTCAGGGTGCCCTGGGAGCTGGGGGTTGGAATCCGCTTTGGGAGTAGGTGATAGGTCGTTGCAGGGCTCTTGAGATAGAAAGAAAGCTGGGTGTGTGTGGGAAGTGGGGCCTGGGTATTAGTGGTTGGGTGGGCTTCCCTGGTAGCTCTGATGGTGAAGAATCCGCCTGCAGTGCAGGAGACCGGGGTTTGATCCCTGGGTGGGAAGATCCCCTGGAGGAGGGCCTGGCAACCCGCTCCAGTATTCTTGCCTGGAGAATCCCCGTGGACAGAGGAGCCTGGCGGGCTGCGATCCACGGTGGCAAACAGCCGGACACGGCCGAGCACCGAACACACACACAGGCAAGAGGGAAGGGACGCAGAGGTTGGTAGAGAGCCAGGATAGATGGGAGAGCTGTGTGGACAGGAAGGGCCGGTAGGTGCCTTTACCTGTGGGAACCATGGGTCTGTCCCATGGGTCTGGGGTTAATGCACCTTTGGGGACATCGGGGAAAGAATTCCAAGCTAACTGTGGGAACAGAAGCCTGCTTGCAGTGGACAGAGTTGGGGATGAGGAAAGGGAGGGAACATTCTTGGGGCCACTCTTTGCAGAAGTAGTTGAATCGTGTAGACTCTCTGTCCTGTGGTTCAGGGAAACGGCACGTGGCATTACAGAATGCTGCACTGTTGTGTCATTGAACTTGGGTATGGAACCTTCTAGATGCACAAGTGCAGAGGCAAGATGGGAGCAGTAAGGCAGGTCAGGCTGGGCGAGACTTGGATGGCACCCAAATGAAGTGGTTACTGCAGCCAGAGTGTGATTTGGGCTCAAATTTAAGTAATTAAAGTGTATCTCATCCAGCTCCAAAGGATAAAGCCTTCTTTTTTCGTAAATCAGACTAGTTTGGGACTCAGTGAGAATGCAGTCAAAGGAGGAAATTAGTTGAGTTTGGGTCTGTTTTATTATATTTATAATTTTAAAAAATAGTTCCTACTTTCTTATTCATTGTGTGCTTCTCCTGTGTATCTTTTTTTTTTTTTTTTAAGGTGAGGACAGCAGTTCTGAGAGCGGTTCTGAATCTGGTGAGTTATCTGTGTATGTGTTTCTTTAATAACAGAATTCTAGTTAAACATGGACACCTTTATTTTTCTTTTAGTGTAAAGCCCATATCACTGATGTTGTTTAAGGACATAGTAATTACAAGTGTCCTTTTTGTGAAGTACCGAAAAGAACTTACATGGTAAATAATTTCTAGTTGGCAAGTAAAGTGGCAAAACAGGATGAGCTGAGGAAGAAAGACAGGAAATGGTTGCTATTGGTGAGAGGCAAACACTTTACCTATTCCATTTGCCTGTGTGTTTTTTTCTTAGTTGTCATATGAATTTCATATGATATATGATTTCAACCTTTTTTTTTCCCCGTAGATAATGAGGAGGCAAAACCAGAAAAAACAAGTGAGTATATCCTTCCTTCTTCTGACTTTCTTTTTTGTTACTGAAAGGAAGAAAGAAGGATAGGCTTTGAGATTTTTAAGTTGCAAGTTGCTTGCTCATGATCTTTTTCTGTGTCAGATTGGGCTCAACACTGGGAAATGAATAAGCATTTTGAAAATTTGAGCTCAGTGCACTTGGAATACAAGGGGCGTGTTCCTGGTCTGCACTGATGCCGAGACTGTGCATGTGCGGCTTTGCTCTGCGGTTCCCAGCGGAGAAGAGATTGAGGGGCTGACCGAAACCTACAGCCACAGCCTCGGCTTCCTCTCGTGGTGGGCGCTGCTCACAGTTAATCACAGAGCAGACTGTTCACTGCTGAAAATGTGGTACCATTTGTGGTTTAAAGTTTCTGGCTTGCTGTTCTGGTCGTTTATGAACAACTTGAGTCATGAAACCACTGTAAAGATATAGATTCTAAATATAAAATTTGCTTTTGGTCTAAAGTTTTGTGAAGAACTTAAGTTGCATGACTAAGCTTTTATTTTAACTGATTTTATTATTCTTTAGGATTTTTTTCCCCCTCCCAGTTCTTAGAATATAATCTGCTTATGAACACAAATACTATGACAAGGCAGTCAGGGGGTTTCTTTATAATATTTTAAAATAAATGAAGTCTTTTCACTCAGAAGTCCTGTATTTAATCTAATTCTCTCTGCAGTTTCCCAGTGGGGAACCCGTGAAGGTAATCGTAAGCTCCTTGTAGTCATGTTGTGTATAGATAAGAACCTGTGGTTATTTTTGTATCACACGTGGAGTAGATGTCACCATCTGATACCCATAAGGAATAATGTATACTAGCCTTCCTACTTCCAATCCTCCTTATTCATAATAAGGATTATTTCATCCAATTAAATGCAATCAGAAGTCCAGCCTCCATAGATTGGACTGGAATAGAAATGAAGTCAGAGGCTGTGTCTTGGGATCTGTTCTTTGTTGTCACTGGTTAATAACTGAGTAAATGGCCCTGGAGACACGGGATCCAGAGACAGGGCCCCCAGGGTCCAGGCAGCCAGGCTTGGCCCAGGGCCTCGCCAGGGTGGCAACCAGGTGGAAGGCATTTGGAATCTGTGAGGCTCGATATAGGCTTGGACTTGAATGGGAAGCTGGAGTCAGTGCCGTCAGACAGGGCACGTGTAGGAGATGGAGCCGCTGGACCTGGCCCTCGGCCATATGAGACACCTGGATGTCCAGGGCTATCCACAGGGCCCTGCCTTTCCCAAGGTTCTTCTCTTTGTTAAAAGACCTTTTATCCTCCACCTTGGGGAAGAGGTCAAAAAGATACCCCCCATTCACCTCCATTCTCAGGTCAGATGGGAGGACCAAATAGTCTACCCTGGGATGCTGGCTTCTCTGTGGATGGGCCAAGTGGCCGTGCAGGCTCACCCATCATCCTTCTGATTGGATATACCTTCTGAGCTCCAAAGTCACCTGAATCGCATGGATTAAAGAGAAGCCGAGGGTTTTGTGTTAGAAGTGCATCAGTTTCTCTGCTTTGGCTGGGAAGACCTAGTGGAAGACTGTGTGCTAGGCTTCTCTAACAACTTTCATTTTCTCAGCTCCCCAGGCAAATAGCAGGACACAAAAAACATGAGATGTGAATGAAATGCATTGTAGATGATAGTCATTAAATATTTATAATTTTGTGATGCTTTTTAGGATAGCGACTGTGGAATGGGATTGAAATATTTTCCGGTGCAGGACTTGAATCGGTGTTTCAGAACCTTCAGATCTATGGTATTCTGAGTCCAGAATTCTGAATATGTTTAGTCTCTATTTTCTAGTTCATTTTAATGCTGTTTTTAAAGTCTGGTTCTGTCTTGCAACCCCTGGTCCCCGTGTAATGTCCTGAGAGCAGGCAACTTATGTAGCAAGGACTGGAGCCAGGGTCCTCGGGCAACAGAGAGGGGGTCCACTCCTGGGCATTGGTGGTGGCCTGGACCTTCCACATGTGCTCAAGATGCCTGTCTTACTAATGGGACTCATCCTCCCAAAGGTTGTTCAGATCTTTCAAATCTAAAAGCAAGTATTCAACATATTAGGTCGTCTCCCAAGTGAAAGGTTATTGTCTGCTTCAGAATTATTAATGTTTTTGAGTTTCACACATCACCATAGCAAAATAACAGCTAGCACTCGCTGACTGCTTGCTGAGTGCCAGGCGCAATCCCTACCTATAATTTAATATTCTGTCTTTCTGGGCGGTGGTATTACATTAATTCTCATTTAACAGATGAGGAAAGTAATAGACAAAGATTTCGTACATAACTTAAGAGCCTAAACTCATGCAACTAGTAGCCGGTGTAGATAATAGAAAAATTCACCACTGTTCCCCTTCATAATGTATTTTTGTATTCTGGGATTCTAGTCTTTCAGAAAATGAACACTTACCAGGCCCTGGGATTACAGTCCTTGTGAAACTTGCATTCTAATGGGGAGAGAGACAGGAAGCAGAAACATTGAGCTGATCATGTGTGAGGTGGTGAGCAGTGCCCTGATGAAAATGAAAGGGGGAAGAGATGTGTCAGGCAGGCCCTTGCTTTGGGAGAGGGGTGGAACATCAGGAAAGCCTCTCTGATAAGGTGACATTTGAGCAGAGACGGCAGGGATGTGACCGGGTAAGCAATGTGAATATTCAGCCCGGGAGACAGAGAGTGCAAAGGCCCTGAGGCAGGAACTTGCTTTGGTGTGGAGAGTGGTTCCCAGTGACTGGAGGGCAGTAAACGCAGGGAGGCTGGCCAGGGACGAGTAGTGGGGAGCCAATGGAAAGAGTCTGCATGCTAAATCAGAGACTCTTAGACAATTCCACCATCAGTTCAGTTCAGTTCAGTTGCTCAGTCGTGNCACTGTTTCCACTGTCTCCCCATCTATTTCCCATGAGGTGATGGGACCAGATGCCATGATCTTAGTTTTCTGAATGTTAAGCTTTAAGCCAACTTTTTCACTCTCCTCTTTCACTTTCATCAAGAGGCTTTCCTTAAACATGCCTAAAATCAGACGTCCGTTCCTCTCTCACTGCTCCACTAATCTCTAACTATGCTAAGCTGAAAGGCTGATGCCAGTCAGGCTCTGTCTTGGGGATAACAGCTCCAGCTTAGTTCCCGACTTCTGGCCCCTCTGAGGGACTCTGCGCTGGGGCCTGTAGCTGCCCCGCTGAGACACTGGTCTCGCTGAGGAGTGACTGGTGAGGAGCTCGTTCCTGACCACCTGTGCCCTGAGCTCGTTTTGTCTCCACAGATGGGGAGCTAGGAGAGTCTTCCGCCGAGGAAGCGTCTGCTCAGGGTAAGAGCGAGGCGGTGCCCTTGCCCTCCTGTGTCCCCTAAGGTATCCTGTTCACCCTGCGCCCGTGCTATGAGACGAGGGGGGTGCGAGAGCTGTTTGCTTCAGCGTCCAAAGATCAGCTAAAGACTTAATGTGCCAAAGTGGGGTGCATGGAAGCTTTCACATTCAAGCTTATTTTCCTGCTTTATACCAGGGGTCCCCAACCCCTGGGCGACTGTCTGGTACCATTAGGAACCGGGCCACACAGCAGGAGGTGAGCGGTGGGCTAGCGAGCGCAGCTTCATCTGTACTTACAGCCACTCCCCGTCGCTTGCATCACCGCCCGAGTGCCTCCTCCTGTCAGATCAGCGGTGGGACAAGATTCTCATGGGAGTACAGACCCTACTGTGAACTGCCCAGTCCTTATGAGACTTTAATGCCTGATGGTCTGATTCTGCCTTCTGATGTGTTGTATAATTATTTCATTATATATCACAATGTCATAAAAATAGAAATGAGGTGCACAGTAAATCTAATGCACTTGCATAATCCCAAAACACCCCCGCTCTCACCGCCCCCCGAGTCCATGGAAAAATTGTCTTCTGTGAATCCAGTCCCTGGTGCCAAAAAGTTTGGGGACTGCTGCCTTATACCTACAGCAAGACTCACAAACAGAATGTGTCATGTATCACCAAATCCACTCAACGAGATGTTTAATATACGTTTAAGGTTCCGGTTGGGCTTGCCCGGTGGCTCAGTGGTAAAGAGTCCGCCTGCAATGCAGGAGACACAGGTTCAATCCCTGGGTCGGGGCAATCTTCTGGAGCAGGAAATGGCAACCCACTCCAGTATTCTGCCTGGAGAATCCCACGGACAGCGAACCTGGCAAGCCTCAGTCCATAGGGCTGCAAAGAGTCAGACACGACTGAAGTGATTTAGCACGAAGTTCTTATTGGTTGTGAAGCTGGGTGTGGGGGGTGAGGTTAACTGATTTACCCTGTGACTGACTTATGCCAATACATGTGTGACAATATCTTTTACAGTTGAAGAATGGGAGGTTAAAGAATTGCCCGCACAGCATTTTAATTCAGGTATGAACTTACATTCTCCAGAATAGTCTCATTATTGCTGAGGGGGCCTATGTCTTTGAATTTTGTAATATGGTCGTGTCATATATATTTGTCAAAAAAATTTTGCCTGAAAATGCCAGTCACATTCCTAGAAGTAAAATTTTTTCTCTATCATTTAGAATCTAATAAAATCCAGTCTCACTGTGAACACTGTAATGCTGAAAATGTAAGTATGTTTTTAATTATAAAGGATGACTCTTTAATTTGCTTTATTTAAGAAAATGACATTTACTTATATGTTATATCTGTGCTTTTTCTCCAGAAACACAATGAACTGGTGACTCCCAGGCTTCTTTCCCGAGGACAGTTTTTGTGAGTCATTGGGAATACGGGAGACAGTTGATATCAAGTATTGCGTCTTGTCCTGGAGCAAATACTCAGACCTCATTGTGAAGCCCTGGGCCGTCGGTGGACCCTTGTTTGATGTTAAATGTGACCCGCTCTGTCTTACCTCCATTCAGTTTCCACATTCCCTCTGCTTGGGTCGTGAGTACTTGTTTGCTAAAAGTTTAATTGGCATGTGCATGTGTGGACATGTGGGTATGTGTGCAACGCATGCAATGCCCAGGACACTAATTCACCTTCATGTGTTAACAGACCGAGATGCCAGCATGACGTTCAAAGTCTTCCACGTTAAAAGTACTGGGGCCTCATTAGAATATACTGTGGACCATTCTGCCACCCACGTCAAATGGCGTGTGAGCTCTCTTTCTCCTGTGGGACCCGTTATTCAAAGCGAAGAGACGGTATTCCACCACGGGGCGGTGATCCTGTACAAAGCCATCGACCATAACCCGTCCTTGTCTTTTCGAGTGTACGTAGCAACCAATAATGAATCCTTCATCAAGGTAAAGTCAATGAAAGTGAATACTAAATGTTGAATACTGTGTGTTCAGACTTTAATGCAAGGTCTGGGTGATGTCTGTTGATTTAAGATCTGGGTGTCTCTGTTGATTTAATTGTCTCCCCATGGTGGGTCTGATGTCATGCTCACTCACCGACATTATAAGATCAGTGCCAGGTCCTCAGATCCTTGGGGCATGGGTGTTTATACACATGAACAGCTTCGGGAGGAGAGCAGATAGGAATATAGCTCTCTAGAGGTGGGTGTGGCACAATCAAGCAGGCCTGGCCTCGGAGAGGGTTGCCCAGAGAACAGCCAAGGCCATCTATTCTTTACAGCCTTGCTGCTGAACATGTGATTTGGGGACCAGGGAACCAGGAGTGGCTGGTTGCTGTCAGCAGGGTGCTCCTTAAAATGCCAAATCTCAGCACCACCCAGACCTGCCTGCCCTGCTCAGAATTACCAGGTGACTGGGACATTACAGTTGGCGAGACACCTGCTCTGGATTCACTGGGGGGGCCGTTTCGGGTCTTTGGGTCAAATGTAGGGAGGCTGGAGATTCCTCCTTGGCTTAACGCTCTGCCAGTAAGACACACCTCATAGGGTAACTCATTCCAGAGTAATTTTTTGGATAAAAGTTGACCTTTGGTTCATGGGTTCAACATTCTAGGTTTTGTAGCAGTAGATATTTTATGAAGCACCCAATACGTTTAAGGTATAATGACCTGAGGGGAAGGGTTTGAATATTCATAATGGAACCCGTTTGCCAGAATGCAGAATAAATCTATGTTGTTTAGCCCATTTTCTGAACTATATCATTGAGAACAGAGGATTGAATCTCCTTTTATACCCTGGCCCATTCTAAATACAGTTATAGTGACTTAGAGGTGGGTGGAGCACTGACAAAAGATAAAGCAGTGCTCAAAATTATCCTTTCAGATTCAAAATCAGGGTTTGACAGATGTGAAAAAAAGCGTTCAGTTCAGTTGCTCAGTCATGTCTGACTCTTTGGACCCCCTGAACCGCAGCACGCCAGGCCTCCCTGTCTATCACCAACTCCTGGAGTCCACCCAAACCCATGTCCTTTGAGTCGGCGATGCCATCCAACCATCTCATCCTCCGTCGTCCCCTTCTCCTCCTGCCCTCAATCTTTCCCAGCATCAGGGTCTTTTCAAATGAGTCATCTCTTCGCATCAGGTGGCCAAAGTATTGGAATTTCAGCTTCAACATAAGTCCTTCCGATGAACACCCAGGACTGATCTTCTTGAGGATGGACTGGTTGGATCTCCTTGCAGTCCAAGGGACTCTCAAGAGTCTTCTCCAACACCACAGTTCAAAAGCATCAATTCTTCGGCATTCAGCCTTCTTTATAGCCCAACTCTCACATCTATACATGACCACTGGAAAAACCATAGCCTTGACTAGACAGACCTTTGTTGACAAAGTAATGTCTCTTCTTTTTAATATGCTGTCTAGGTTGGTCATAACTTTCCTTCCAAGGAGTAAGCGTCTTTTAATTTCATGGCTGCAGTCACCATCTGCAGTGATTTTGTAGCCCCCCAAAATAAAGTCAGCCACTGTTTCCCCTGTTTCCCCACCTATTTGCCATGAAGTGATGGGACCAGATGCCATGATCTTAGTTTTCTGAATGTTAAGCTTTAAGCCAACTTTTTCACTCTCCTCTTTCACTTTTATCAAGAGGCTCTTTAGTTCTTCTTCACTTTCTGCCATAAGGGTGGTGTCATCTGCATATCTGAGGTTATTGATATTTCTCCCGGCAATCTTGATTCCAGCTTGTGCTTCCTCCAGTCCAGCATTTCTCATGATGTACTCTGCATATAAATTAAATAAGCAGTGTGACAATATACAGCCTTGATGTACTCCTTTTCCTATTTGGAACCAGTCTGTTGTTCCATGTCCAGTTCTAACTGTTGCTTCCTGACCTGCATACAGGTTTCTCAAGAGGCAGGTCAGGTGGTTTGGTATTCCCATCTCCTTCAGAATTTTCCACAGTTTACTGTGATCCACACAGCCATGATAAAGTATACTACTTTGTGAATTATAATTTGAGTTATAGAATTTATATCAAGCTACCCACTCCCAGTGGTTTTAGGTTGTAGTATTTGCATGCTTTAAAAATGTTATACAGATTATAATTAGCAATACGTATTAAAGTGTAAAAACTTTAAGTAACAGATTTTTTTGTTTCCTCCTAAGAAAGTAAAATATGCTTTCTGTAATCTCACTAAAGATAATACTTTCAGTTGGGAAAGTAGTCTTCAAAGTGGTATAAAAATAACTGCATCTAAAGTATAATTCCTAGAGGAGGAAATGGCAACCCACTCCAGTATTCTTGCTTAGAAAATCCAGTGGACAGAGGAGCCTGGTGGGCTATAGCCCATGAGGTCACAAAGAGTTGGATATGACTGAGCGACTGAACACACATATCTATAAAGTAGAATTAGCATAGATTTGGAAAAAGCACTATTATTTAATGAACCTTATATTTTAAAAGTAAATTCAGTTAACTGAAAGAGCATGATCCAGACTTCCTGGGAAGCTGGGGTCAGGAGCTGATTACATCAGCAGATGTGGAGAAGGCTGCCGTCAGGACAATGGAGAGCGTGGCATGGGGAAGGCAGGATATCCTTCCTGGCTGATGTTTTATTTTTACACCTTCTCCAGTTAATTTTTTTTTTCCCTGTGTAGGAAAGGATTTCCTTGAACTCTGTCTCAAAAAACCTAAATTTTATATTCAGCCATACAGCTACTTTACCAAGGGAGCTTGGGCCAGAGATTACATTCACCTCGTGGGGGGGCCTTGGAACAATACATGTAAAATCGGTGTCCCCTCTAGGGCCACGTCAGAAAGAGAGTTGTGCTAGCAGGATGGGAACATATCCAGTGTGGTGCAGACACACACTGGGAGTCAGCTGGACCCACTGCCAGTAAAGAGGTGCTCTCTTTTCAAGTGATGGGCATGGAATCAGTCTGCATGTGTCATGCATGTGCTCATGTAACGTGCTCAGACCCTTCAGAGGCAAATTGGTGCCACAGAGGGTATAGGTGACCCTTTTGGCTGTAGTGCTTTTGTGGGGAGATATTTGGCTGTGTGAGAGATGCGTAGGACAAAGGTGCCTCCACTTCTGGGCCTTTTTCCCCTTGTGATCACTGTGGGACATCCTCCCTGGCCGTCACTTCTGTAGGAGGACATGAAAATAATGCGACCGGCACATACACTGCCCGGCTCTTGAGTTTGACTCTCACAGTTGTTGCTGATGGATTTCAAAACCCAACCTATTTCCACCTTTAGGATATTTCCAAGTCTGTAAAGCACTCCTCTAAGAAATTCATGAAAATCGACAAGCCTCCGGTTTGCCAGAAGTTGCTGCAGAATGGGAAGAAGTACAGGCTGATCAGTGAGCCAGAAGCTGAGATCACCCCAGAGGTAGACACTGTAGAAAATCAGCTTGGAGTAGCAGTGGGGGGAGTGTGTAGATTTCTTAGATACAGCATCTTGAAGATATTTAAAAATAATGCATTTTGTTCTCCTTTTTTATTTCCCAGTGTCTGAGAAAGCAGTTGTTTTGTTAAACTTGCATTTTATTCCAAAGGTGCTGTTGAATTTCAGGGTTCATCTGCAGTCATCAAAAATATAGACTCTCCATTTCTCTTTCCCTTTGAAAAGGTTTTCAGTTTTCTTGCATTTTAAATTAAGTTATTCAAATAATTTTAGCTTCAAAGGAATACAAAACTTAAGTTTAAGTCATGCAAAGCATTAAAGGTTAATGGAAAAGAGTTGCTAACAAAGGATATTGGGCTTTTCCTACTGGAAGGCATTTGAAAAATAGTTATGGGAATAAATTGTTAGATTTGAAGCATTCACAGTACACACCACAACACTTGTGATTTTGGCTTCTCGGAAATGACTTAGTTATTTTTAAAGTTTATTTTCATTATGTGCCCTGGGTGTATGCCATAGCTTATCTAGTCTGGACATCTGTGTGGAAATTCCTTTTGTCTACCTCCTTTGTCTGTTTTACAGTTTATGAAAAGTTGAAAACATGTTTTGATTCCATTTTAAAAGTGGGAGGCAAGAGAGCTAATTGCAGTGGTCCATGTTGCATTGTTGCATTGGTATTATCAAGGCCTTGCACCTTATAGAAGCAGGCAGGTTGGTCAGGACAGTCTTCCTTCCTGTTTTGTTTCAAAGCATCTCTGCACATGCTTTGAACCATTTGAGTGATACAATAACACGGCTGAGGAAGCCAATGTGCAAAGCAGGTGGGCGCTCTGCCCAGGCCACACAGGCGAGCATTGCCCACGGCCCCGACTGCCTTGGCTCCTGAATCTACCGTCTCCCCACTGGGATCTGAGAGGTTGATTTTTGTCCCTTCCATACCGATCAGGCCCCAGCAGATGGCACATCAAGAGAATCACGAGAATCAAACTGCAGCCTTGTCTGGGCAGTGGAACTAAATGAGAAGGGTGTGCTTTTCAGTGGCCTGTGCAGCATAATGGATTTCCCTGGGAAGCTTTAAAAAAAAATTCGGTGGCCTGGGTCCCACCTCCAGAGATGCTGACTTAATTGGTCTGGGAATGACCCAGGCATTGGACTTGTTAAAGCTCCCAAGGTGACTATAATGTGCTGCCAAGGTTAAGAACCACTAGGAGAGGGAAGAATACATATTGAATGGGTGGATGTTCCCAGAAAGAGACCGAGGGGATCTCAGGAGTTGTTTCTTACAAAAGATGTTGATAGCTAGAGGGCTTTAAATAGTCTGCATTCTAGTGCATAGTCAGTCACATAGTGAGTGCATAGTCTGTCACTAACTGTGTGCTCTCTCTTAACCAAATTTCTGGTCTATAAAATGGGGATAATCTCCCAAGATTACTGTAAGGATCATATAAAGTAATGGTTTGGGGCACTCCTGAGAGTTGTAAAACTCCGTGTAAATATAAGGTGCTCTTATTAGTTTTATACCATTAATGATTTGCTTAACTGACATCAGATGTGCCTATTACCAGCCCGCCTGATAAAAGCTAAGAATTAAAAAATAGGTAAGTCACAGTCTTTTCCCTCAAAGACGCCAGTGTAGTGAGGGAAATGCTCCATTCATGTAGAGAAATAATTTTACTATAACGTGGTGTTCCTTTAGAGACGAGTACAAATGCAGTGGGTTTCCAGGAAGGCTTTCTCATGGGTGATGTTGGCTCTGGGATTGAAGGGTGAGGGATTCCCTGGGAGAGACAAGCTTTCCCAGGCTGTCCTGGGAGAGGTGGCGGCAGGTGCCTAAGGAGGGCACGGAACTGTGCAGCTGGGCTGAGCCCCAGGAGAGTTCTGGGGAAATGAACCTGGAAGGATTTAGGAGAGAGGGGTTAGGAGAGGCGCTGTCTCAGCTTTGTAGAGTTCGGTGACTGACCCTTGGAAGGTTAGGAGGATAATACTAGTGACTTGGAACAGAAAGGAAGAGGAACAGATTAAGAGCATTAGTTTGTGATGGTGACACCCGGTGCAGTTCACTGATGTTTTTTCAAAGATGTATTTCTTGCTAGCCAGTCTGGAGAGAAGCAGAGGCATGGGAAGCCAGGAGACAGTCTGAATAGTGGTTAAGAGCTCAGACTTCGGAGTCACAGGCGTATATTCCAATTCCACTTCCACCACTTAGATGTGGACTTGGGCAAATTCATTCACTTCTCTGGGATCGTTTACTTATAAAATAGTGATAAAAGGATTTGTTGGGGGAAGGTGGTGGTCAATGAGGGAATGTGGACACAACACTGCACATGGTTCTGTAAATGTGAAACCAGTTGGACAGGTCAGAGAATGATCTAAGAGAAAAGTGGTAAGGGGCTTAAAGCACCTGGGAGAGGGTGGCTGATGGTTGAGCCCAGGTTCTATTTGGGGAACATGAAATACTGGAAGTCAGGAAAGGGCTGAAAAGTTACACTTTGGAAAACAAGGGCCATGGGACTAGAAGCTTCAGTGAGGTGGAAAACAGTTCTGAGTAAGAGTAAGGAGGGGCTGAAAGTGGGAGAGAGAGAGGAGGTGTGGTTAAGGAGTGGATTTACAAGGTCAGAACTTCAACGGGCGTCCACTGAAGCACTGACCCTTCTCATTGCCTTTATTCCTTATCTGACATTTTATGTTGTTAATTAATGCAACTTTTAAATTTACGAAAACCACCTTTTTTTTTTTTTTTTGAAGGAAATTGAATTTGTGGATGGTTCACTTTTAAAATTGAAAAGTTATATTGAAGTGTATCTGGAGCAACCAGTGGAGTTTAAATTACTCTTGGTTGAAATGGATTCCGAGGAAATTGTATGGAAGGCAAAACTGAGAGAGTGTGAGTATCTTGTATCTTGAATTAAAACTCTGTTTGGCAGGTGGGGGGTTGGGGAGGGTTGGGGGGAGTGGCTCGGGTGGAAAGCAAATAGAATACTCGTCTGTTCCATCACCATAACATCAAAAAATTCGATTAAGAGAAGCAGAGGCCCCAGTTCTTGGGACAAAAGTGCTTCCTCTGGTTCTCAGGCCCCCACCGTCAAATCCCCACATTCACCAAATGCACAGAGCCCATATTTGCTATTGAGACTTTATACTCCAGAAACAAAACCCAATCTAATCCATTTGGGATTCTGTCCTAGTTTAAGCCAGAAGCTTTTGTATAGGTGTGACTCCTGTTCTCAATATTATACCCTTAAATTAGCCAGTTTGAAACAGGCCCTTTTATCCAAACTACCGTTACTTACCCCAGAGGAGTCCTAGTTTTGGGATTCTGTATTGGAGATTGTATTATTTAATTTGCTCAAATAAATGAACCTGAAAGATGTTACTTTTTAATCATAGCAAATGCCACAGTAATAAAGGTATTTAATATGTAGCAACCTGAATAACAGATGTTCTTTCAGACTAAGTCTCATGGCAGTTTTAAAGACCACTTTTTAAGACTTCTTTTTAAAACTTTACTTAATAATATTCTGCCTCATAAGATGGTTCTGCTTTCTATTATTTTGGGGAGGCCTATCCTAACGATGAACAGAAATTGCCCATCACTCATAAGATGTCTTCACTCAAGGGACCTGTGGAAGGCCTCCCCAACATAAAGGCATCTGTTAGAGCAGGGCTGAACTCATGGGGCAGGTGGTGTTAAATCATAATGAAGTTTCTGCAAAGAACCCACCAAGTATACATAATGATAATACATATATGAGATTCTTTTACGTGTGTGTATTTGTGGGTGTGTGGGTGTGTGTGAGTCACTTAGCCATGTCCGACTTTTTGCGACCCCATGGACTGTAGCCCACCAGACTCCTCTGTCCATGGAATTCTCCAGTCAAGAATACTGGAGTGGGGAACATATAAATATACTTAAAATTTAAAGATGTTATTTATTTTTAAAAAATGTTTGTGGCTTCCTTCTCCATATGCCACATGATGTTCTATTTACAGTAGTTTTAGATTTAGAGAAATACGGAAGGAATGATATTTCACCTGGCCTCTGGGTGTGGCAGATACTATGCCAGCAGTGTGCAGATGACTGAAATATGGGAAATGCTGGTCCCACCAGACATGTTGGAAGGAGTTCAAGCTCAGGATATTTGCATACATACCAAGTTAAAACCCACATTTGAATTTGAGAGAGATTACCAAAACCCTAGAGCTTCACGTGCTTTCACACATCGATGCTTTAATTCCAATTTCATACCACTTTTCCAACTGCTGCTTATTGTACCTTAACAGGTGACTGGGTTCAGCAAAATCGGAACCAGAACATTTCAAAAAGCAGCACAAGTGGTAAGTGCTTGTAAGTGGACATTAAACTCGTCTCTTCCTTCCATACACTAGAATTTTAATTCTGCTTTCCAAATCCAGTAACGTTCAGGATCTGTTAAGTGTTCCGTAACTCTCAATCATCTGAATGAGCTTTGAATCCTTTTTTTAACTTGCTGTCAGAATGATGATTTTAAAATGATTTTTGAAAAGTCCAGCTTGAAGATAGGTGGATAATAAAACCATAAGGGAAAGCCAATTTGTTGTTATTTTTTTAAAGGTAACAGGCGACGAAAAAGGAGTAACAGCATACCCGATGAGATGGTCTATGATAAAAGAATGAAGCAGACTGACAGTTCAGGTTTGTAAAAATGTCCTCTGTGGCTGTCAGTCACTTCCTCTGGTCTCCCCCAGAACATTCATCTGACACATGTTCTTCTTGGGTCAGTCTCCCTGGAGTCATATCTAGGTGTGCCTGCCCTCCCAGCTACCTTCCCCCTGTGTCCAAGCTTCTCAGGCCTGGATAAAGGTCCTAGGTGGTCTGCCCCAGCCTCCTTTTCCACCTTGGCTGCCCAGTCCTACCCTGCACTTGGTGAAAGTAGAATTGGGGGTCAGGGGAAGGTCTTGCAGCCTGTAGGCTCAGTGGCCACGGCCTGTCCATCTGTGCATTTCCTATAGCACTGAGCCTGCAGCCTCTAATGTAGAAGATAATGAGCGTTCACTGAAGAAGTGAATAGTGAATGTCCATGTGTGCATTCACTGGCTTCACAGTTATTAACTATATTTGGGGGGAGGGAGCCACCAGCTCAATTATTAGAGATAAAGGTCAAGTTAATTTCTTCCATTTAAATGGCAGAGACCAAGGCTTGATAGCTGTGAAAATACAGTAGAGATTTAAGCACTTAACAACAGTACTCCAAGGAACCAGAAGATGGAGTATGTACCTCAAAATCAAGTCCAGCCAGAATTCATAAATCGAAGTTTAAAAACCCAGGCTCAAATTACACAAGACAAGATCTTAAGGCTTTGGGGGCCTCATGTAGATGAACCCTTTCATCAAAATACCTTTTATTATTGTAAGAAGGTGTGAATCTAAAAGCAGATAAACTCTATAGACTAAAATAAGATGTTATTCGCTTGGAGTTGAAGAGGATGATGTATGTCTGATTTTACTGTATATCACTAGAGAATTGTTTATCATTTCTATTAAATGAACATCAAAATAAATGAGGCTCTGGAATTATTTTTAAAACCTAACCAAATTGGAATACATATTTCTTTCAGTTTTATTGAAATATAGTTGACAAAAATTGTATATAAGTACACAATGGGATGCTTTGATGTATGCATACATTGTGAAATATTTACCAATTGAATTAATTAGCACATCTATCACCTCACACAGTCACCTTTTTTTTTTTGGTGGTAGAACTCATAAGACCTTCTCTTAGCCAATCTCAAAGAGTACAGCATAGTATTTATTATTAACTTTAGTCATCATGCTGTATATTAGATCCTCAAAAATTATTCACTTATAACTGAATGGGACACATAGGAAAATTTTTTCCTTTTTTGAAGTTATTTGGCTATTTAAAATTAGCTCCAACAACAAGTAGCTAGACATAGAATAAAATGATCAAATACTACCTAGAAAATTAAGGATTTCCAGCCTTTTTAGAGTTGACAATGTGGTAGCAAATAAATTAATAATGATTTACTTTTGTTTAGGTATTTTCACATTTTTTAAGATACTGAGTGTCTATCCTGATAGTTTGAGGCTCAGCATATCACCATATTGCTTTTTAAAATAGAGTCATCTCTTAACTCTGAGTCACTTTGAGATCTTGTTAAACTTTAGATACAGCATCTGACATGGTAGGTTTGGGGATTACCCCGAGAACTTGCATCTTTGATGGATGGGTTCTCTGTGTGGTTTCTCTTGCCGCAGTTTGAGAGGAACACAAATCTCATGTGTTAGAAGACCACTAGGGGGCAGTGGCCATCTTTTAGAAACCATTCTTAAGTAAAGAGGATTAGGGTTCAATATAAATGTTAGGTTCCCTTCATTAGACTATTGGCTCTAGATGAGCGAAGTGTTACGGTTCTGGAGGACGGGCAGGAAGGATTCTTCCTCTCACCCTCTTATGGCAGCTCCAGGGTTTGTAAGGCCTGGAGGGTCCTTAACGAGACTCTACCCCTGGTGAGCTTTGCTGTGTCATAGCACAGCCATCTGAAAATTGTGAACATAGAAGACCCAGCTGGGGCTGGTATTTTGTATTGGGGCACTGGTTTGCATTGGCAAACATAATCCCTTCCAGAATGGTGACATGGTTTCTTAGTGAACAACAGATACTAATATTACAGACACTGTGCCCTGACTTTTCTGTGGAATATGCTCTTCCCCTTAATGCCAGGAGATGGCAGAATGGAGACTGCAGTTCATATCTCTTGCTACCCTCTTTAAGTTAGCGCTTTGTATGTGAAGATTCAGAGATGGGCAAGGGGAAAAGTTGTATAATTTTCTTTTTGAGCCACATAAAGTATTTTTGGTGCCTGATTTATTTTTCCCCTCCAGCCTAATTTGTGCAGTTTTGCAAAGCAATTTCATTCCCTGAATCATTGAATTATCCTTGTGAGCATTATACCCCAGTTCAACCTTATGTGTAATCATTCCCTTCAGTTCTTCTAATAGTTTGGAAAGCAGGGATTTTTTTGGCACTTAAATTTATTTTAAAAGCAGTTAAAGTTTCAAATCATGGTATCTATCCTTTTTTATATAAAGAGAATACATTTTCATTGTCAATGACTATAAATGAAGTGTTGAGAGAAACTACTGAATTCTTCGTGTGCTTTTAGATGGGGTGAAGACTAAAACCCTGTTAACAGACACTCAGTTGTTTAACCTTGCTGAGAAGCTGGGGAAGGAGTGGTTAAAGATTGCCATTGCCAACCTGAAGCTGAATATTAGCGAAATCGATGCTATCCGGGAGAAGGAAGACAATGTTACAATCAGTAAGTTTAAGATGCTGAAGAAGTGGCAAGAGAAGGAGCAGAGTAATGCCACAGCTCAGAATTTATGTAACTGCTTAAAAAATGTTGATTCAGTTGAAGTCCAAGATGTGCTGAGAGGTAAGCAAAAAATTATCTTAGTCATTTACTTGGGGTCAAGCTGTGTCTTTGCAAATAGCAAATCTATACTCTAGAATGTGTTAGTCACGTCTAAGCGCGGGTTCAGAAGATTGTGCAAATGCTCCGCAGTAAGCACGTGGGTTATATTCTCATCTGTCAAATGGATGCAAAACTCCCAATGTCCTAGGTCTCTTGTGAGAATGAAAAGAGATAATGCATATAAAAGCTCCAGGTTCAGGCAGTGAGACTCAGGCAGGAGTAGATAATGTCCTTTCTTGTTGTTCAGTTGCTCAGTCATGTCTGACTTTTGCAGACCCCATGAGCGGCTGCACGCCAGGCTTCCCTGTCTTTCACTGTCGCCTGGAGTCTGCTCAAACTCATGTCCATTGATAGTCTGTAACTGGAGACCTAACTGGGAGGCCTTGAGCCTTCCAGACTTTCTGTGGTGTTGATGCAGTGCCCCACTTGGTGGCACTAGTGAGCCTCCAGCAGCAAAGATGGGACCAGAGCGCTAAAGGGAGTTGTTTCTGGTCTCAGTCCAGAAAACCACAGGGTTCCTTCCTTTGTGTTGAAGCACTTCTTTTTTTGTGTGGCTTGACTTAGCATATTGTTAGACCCAAGGTCAAACCAATTCACAGCTTGGATTTTTATTAATATGTATTGTTACCATGATTAACAAATGCTGTGTTACTTCTCAGAAGCAAGTCAGAGAGAGGTTTTTATTTGGAATTCTATGCGGACTTTTTGTTCCTTAAAGAATGTAAAAGTGTGTCAGCCACCCCAAAAGTTTATATGAAAAGTTAAAGTCTGGGGTGACCTCTCAGGATGCAGTCAGGTGTGAAGCGCGAGCTTTCTGAACGCCCCCACCAGTTTGGATGCAAGAGCTGCAAGCCAATAGAATAGGCAGTTTCAACATCAAATTTCTTTTCCTTGAATATGTTGAAATTATGTAAATCACTGAGGCCCACATGTGGAAATCTCCTTATTTGCATATAGGCATTTCTGCCTATTGACAGTAGTGGCCCCTCCTGTGTTAAGGAAACAATCATAGCCTCTTCCATCAAAGGAAGGCTTGGAAGTCTGACCGTCTCACAGATCCTGTAGAATGGGTGGTTATTTGTCGTTTTGTTTTTATCTGCTCTTGACTTCACTAGACGCTTGACTTGTTGCCACATAAAGCTGAATAAGGATTTGTGACATTTTTTTGGCAGTGAAATGGATCATAAAAGCTTATCAGTCCAATTTGTCACTGAATAGGAGAAAAATCTTCAGTGAGTTACAAACGAACAAAAAGCCAGAAATTTTCCAGTGTTTTCTGCCCTCCTGTAGCCAAAATATCTGGGTGATTGGCTGACTTTTGTGTCTTTATCAGGGCATTTTAGTGTCTTATAACTGCAGCCTTCAAAAATTGCACTGGTTTATCTTCATCTCAGGAAAACCCAGCCACTCCAGCAGTTCCTTTTTGAAACGGACAAGTGAAACGGCCGTTTGAAACGGCCTTTCTTTAAACACATGTGCTCTTTCCCCACAACAATGAATCCCTGAATTCGTTTCTCTCCCTTGTTAGGCTTCTTACAGGAAACGTGAGGTTTGAAAGATGAACTGGAAAAGGAAGCCTCAGGAACTTCCGCCTTCAAAGACTGTCTCCGTGGTAATGAGGCACAGACTTCGGGACCCAGAGCTACACAACCTGTGGAAGCAGCTCCTTTCACAGACCGCTTGCAGCTCACATTATTCAGGGGCAAAGGGAATGTGAAATATTTGGAAACCTTGAGGAGGGAAAAAAAGCCTCTATAATATCAAGAATTTTTTTTTTGTACCTCCCACTCTCACCATCCCACCCGGCTTCCCCACCCAAACACATCCACTTATAAAGGGTGCCTAAAATGACTCAACAGCAGTCAGGCGAGAAATGTGGTAATTTTCCTACTGGAGTCTGTGAACTATGAAATTCCTATCAAGCGTTTGGAACATTTTTTTTTTAGTAATTAAGTGGCGGAGTACTTAAATTGCACCAATTTCACCTAGCTTTTTTGCCTCGTGTTATTAATGATGAAGAGAGGCTCCTGTTCTTTTAGCTCCCACACAGTCAGACACTCATGTGCTGCCGGGTCCAATACGTCTTTTTATGTGAGGTGTGATTTCCGTGTCTCACATTACTAACCAGTCTGGCTGGTGGTCTGTTAGACCATTAAATCAATCATGTTACCTGGCCCTAGGGTCATTAGAAAGGATTATAATCCTCTCCCCATCCGGGCTGGTGCAAACGCTCACAGGTGGTGGCCTCATCTTAACTGGGGAAGTTCACCTGGATCCATCATCAGAGTCCCTGCAGATTTCGTCAACCTTCTGAAATCACCAAACACTGCATTTCTTGACCTTGACCCTGGATTGTTTACTTCTGGGAGGGTTGTGGGGGGGCGGGCAGTGCAGGAATGCCACTTAGAAATAGCCTTAGTCAGGACCAAGGAACATTTGTCGTCTCTTCTCGAAGAGGACTTGCCCCAGGGAATCATGGGCCATATTGGCTCTTGTTAATGGGTGAAATCTTTCTTTTTTTTAATATGTCTTAATATGTAATAGATATTGTCACTCTCCCAGAATCATGCGTGTGGTGATTAACATTTTGGATATGTTTTGTTAACTTATTTGAAGAAACTATAAATTACCATTAGTCCCCTGTAGACAGTAGCTGGAGAGTAAATTTGATCTTAATGAATTAATCAGAGGAACATACTTTATAGCTTTGCCTGTGAAGAACAAATTCATTTTATAGGGAAGAACGTATTGATATTACTAATGATCAGGGATCCAGTGGAATTCAAATCAGTGTCACTTTATGAGTTTTTGTTTTTAATTGTTCTATATTTCAGGAAACACATGGAGTTTTAACATTCAGAAGTGTAAAATACTTAAAGGTCTTGAATTTTTTAAGTGTTTATTATTTTTTGTAAGTTGTTTTCCAAAGAAAATCATAATTTCAGAGGTGCTTTGTATATAAGCTGGTTTCCTAACAATTTCCAGCCTTTTTCCTACTGTGGATAAAGGGAAGAACAATAAATCTGCATCTGTACAGTGCAAATATGTCTTCTTTGTTTTATTATTTACTTACAGATTACTTTTTAAAGCATCATCTTCCTTGATTGTTGTTATCTTGGCTGTTTGGGCATTAGTTGGTTTTGCTCCCAGACCCAGTTCTTGGAGTAAAGTCGAGTGAGGGTAAAGCAGGGGCAACTAACCCAGGAGTTTTCACGGATTCAGGAGCACCCCCACACCCCCTAACCCTTCTCCCTCCAGGAATGTCCAGGAATGAGTGTTCTCCCACCTGTGCATGGGAAGGTATGTTTTTATTTAAAACCAGGTGTACTCATAATGAGCTCCTTACCTGTGTGTCTCTGTAACAGGATTTTCCTGCACATTTGTGATGTGTTTTGTTATTTTGGGGGTGGCTTTAGGGGACAGGCTTTCTCCCCTGCCTTGTCAAATGGAAGTGTTTTCACTCCGTTTTCTAAAGAGGACACTGTCTTTGCTGAATTGAAGTGTGTTCTCATGAGGATGGTTGTTTTCAGCAGGCGGTCCAGCCTGTTGCCATTGCTGGAAGTCCTCAGGGTGAAGCAGCCTGCTTCTTGCTGAAGGCGGAGATCCCGACTGCTGGGCCTGCATCCTTCCAGCCTACACACCGGGGTTTGAGCATTTCTGGTAATGGCTCTGTGGCTGCTACTTAACAGAGGCCCTGGGGTGGAATTCTGAGTGCAGAGTTCTGAAGTTCGTCCTGCTTTTTTAAGCTGAGACCTCCAGAGGACTCAGATCCAATTTACTCCAATCATGTTGTAAATTCCTAGTTAAGCAGCCTGGAGTTAGGCTGCCATCTTTATTCTGCAGAAGTCCATTCTTGCTGTGTGCTTTAACCTTTGGCATGAGTTTCCTTTTTAGAAGGGGGTCTTATCTGTGCATTTATAGCAGTGTTTTGTTTTCAAGCAAGTTGGGAAATCTAAAAGATGGTTTTGTGACATAAAAACTGCAGGGAGGGGCTTGGATGAGTTCCATGTTTTCTTTAGCTGGAGGAGCCTTTTGTGAAAGGAAGTCTCACCTGGAAGCTGCGTTGGTGAAGCATTCAGAAGTGGCGCTGCTCTGGTTCGGGGGGTTACTGAGGGCTGATGCAGGGTTGTTGAGGCGCCCTGCTGGTACCCTGACTTTCTCCTTTGAGCGGTGTGTGAGCCAGCCATTGAGGTGGCTGCCGCTGAGAAGACTGGTCTCTTGTAGCTTGTATCTGTGACATCTGCAGTGGGAAATGACCCCAGTTCCAGTTCACTGGTGATCCTTCGGTGGCACATTGCTCCTCATGGGCCACATAATCCCAGGCCATAGATATGCTAACCGCCCAGATCATCCACCCTGTCGAGGCCTTCCAGCCTGCCTTTCCCTCTGTAGTGATGAGAGCACGTGGCGGCTGATGCTCCATCAGCCCGGGTTCCGGAAGAGAACAGCAGAGCAGAGCCCCCAGCCGATCCCCAGTGAGCCTGTTCCTCAGGCCAGAAATGGACCTTTGTTTTAAGCCAGGAAACCAACACTCTGGAGCAACCTTGGTGACTTTCACGGGTGTTCCCTCATTCTGAGCAGGTGCAGTTGTTTTGAGCCAGGGGAACATATGCATTCTGTAATTTTTCTGTGTGATTGGAAATGATTTGATTTTTTAAAGACTTTCTTATTTATCCTTAGGTTAAAAATGAGAACCATGGGAACTTGTGAAAATTTGCCTTTTTTTCTCTACCATTTTTAAGTGCTAGGGCCTAAGTCCACAAGTACATGAGTGACATGACTTTGCCTGTACTTGCATCTCTCACAGTGCAGTGAGGGAGAGGGGAGAAGCTTAAGTAGATTTGATGTTTGCATGGTTATGATGACTCACTGTGACCCGAATTATGGTTTAGTTGCTAAGTTGTGTCCAGCTCTTTTGCGACCCTATGGATGGTAGCCCACTGGACTCCTCTGTCCAGGGGATCTTCCAGGCCCAGGGATCGAACCCATGTCTCCTGTGGCTTCTGCACTGCAGACAAATTCTTTACCACTGAGTCACGGGGGAAACCTGTGACCTGCAATTGAGAAGCCAAGGGTACGGGTTGCAAGCACAGGGCAGAACCAGGCCGCCTGGGCTCAGATCCCAGCGTCTACTACTTCCGGTATAAGCCTCTATGGTCTCTCTTTATTTCCTCATCCATAAAAAGGGGAAGGCAATGGTGCCTCCTCACAGGGTTTTTGAGAGGATTCTGTGCATTTGTGGTATAAACACTTGCAGAAACATGCTTGGTACTTAGTAAGCACAGGGTAAGCATTAGTTCCTGTTGCTTCTAGAAAAAGGTTACTAGAGTGTATTGTCTCTGATGTTACATTGATGTCATAATTTACACTCATAATTTTAATATCATACTAAAAGATACATACAAATAACTAAAAGTTTTGAGTTGTTGACCTAATACATGTCAACCAAAAAGTTGATAAAATTCAATTTCTGAAAAATATGGTTGGACTTTCTTCCTTATTTAAACGTTTTCTCAGTCAGCCCAGACTGCTACAACAAAATACCACAGGCTGAATGGCTTAAACAACAGAAGTGTGTTCTTCAAAGTTCTGGAAGTTGGGAAGTCCAAGATGAGGGTACTGGTGGATTTGGTGTCTGGTGAAAATTCCCAGGTTTGCAGCAAGTCACCTTATTACTGTGTCCTCACATTGGGGTTGGGGGAGACTTCTTCAAGTCTCTCTTTTTTTTTTTTTACTTTATTAACACAAGCTTTTTTTTTTTTTCCTTTTGCCACACTGCAAGTCATGTGGGATCTTAATTCCCTGACTAGGGATCCAGCCTGTGCCCTCTGCATTGGAAGGCAGAGTCTTAACCACTGGCCCACTAGGGAAGTCCCCTCCAGGTCTCTTCTGACAAGGGCACTAGTCCCACAAGGACCTAACCTCCTAAAGGCCCCACCCGTCATACTGTCACACTGGGGATCAGGGATTCCATGTGTGACTTTTAAAGGAACACAGACGTTCAGTCCATGGCTGTATTGTAGATGCACTTTGCCTTAAAACAGGAAGCCACAGTTGTGCTAGCCAGAGCCAACCGTTTAGTCCTCAAGCAGGGAAACTGCGTGGTCCAGGCGACACAGCCACGGGGACTCCTGGCCTCCGTCCCTTCTGGCTTCAGACAAAACCCGTGTCTCTGCCCCTTCTGGCTTCAGACAAAGCCCGTGTTCCCCGCTTTTGACTCCCAGGCTTTCTTTCCGCATTAGGGTGCCTGAGGCCCTTGTGCATCTCTTGAGTTGTAACGTACCCACCTGTGGCTATCTGGCCAGATCACTCCGCAGAACTGACCCCTTTTCCCCAAAGCTCTGGGCCTTCGGTGGGGCCACTGTCAGCTGGTTTTTTTTTTTTATGTTAATTCTGGGACTCAGTCATTCTTATTTCCTTTTAAAAAGGTGATCTGTTATCAAATTTCCCTAGTAGGCTAGATCTGAGGCCTCTTTTTAGGAGGGACCTCAGTCTTCCTGTTCCTTGTTCCCCACCCCCTGCTCTGGGAAGGTAGGACCCTGCTTGTTTGACACTGTGTCTTGGGCCAGACAGTCCTCTGCTGAATGCCCCTAGTAGGCGACTGCCCTGGCAGGACCCCCTTTTGACTCCCAGGCTTTCTTTCTGCATTAGGGTGCCTGAGGCCCTTGTGCATCTCTTGAGTTGTAACGTACCCACCTGTGGCTATCTGGCCAGATCACTCCGCAGAGCTGACCCCTTTTCCCCAAAGCTCTGGGCCTTCGGTGGGGCCACTGTCAGCTTTTTTTTTTATGTTAATTCTGGGACTCAGTCATTCTTATTTCCTTTTAAAAAAGTGATCTGTTATCAAATTTCCCTAGTAGGCTAGATCTGAGGCCTCTTTTTAGGAGGGACCTCAGTCTTCCTGTTCCCTTGTTCCCCACCCTGTGCTCTGGGAAGGTAGGACCCTGCTTGTTTGACACTGTGTCTTGGGCCAGACAGTCCTCTGCTGAATGCCCCTAGTAGGCGACTGCCCTGGCAGGACAAGGCATCACTGAGGTCTTCAAGCAAATGATCTAACAATTTTAAAACCTTGATGTTGAGTGTGGACTAGAGGCCAGCACTGTACTGAGTCATTCAGCCCTCACAATAGCGCTGTGAAATAGGGCTACAGTTTTCTGAATTTCACAGATGAAAATAGCAGCAAAGAGCAAACCCATCTGGCCCATCACCAAACCCAAGGGCTAATAATCATGATCAAAAATTGCTTCATTTGTTGTGTACATATTACATGCCAGGTGCACTGGTAACACTTGGTAGGAGTTGCTCCATGTAACCCTTGATCTGATCCTTTGAGGTAGGTTCTAGTATTATCTTCACTTTTTAGGGGGGCGTGTGCCACACAGCTTGCAGGATCTTAGTTCCCTGACCGGGGACTGAACCGGTAGCCCCGGCAGTGGACGCACAGAGCCCTAACCATTGGATCACCAGAGAAGTCCCTATCTTCACTTTTTAGACGAGAGAATGGACAGGGAGAGGTCAGAACAACATGGTCACGTCATACAAGTTGTAAACGGCAGACTAGGTTTAAATGAGAAAACCCAGAAAACTAGTCAAGTAGTGAAGGATGAACTTTGTTGTGAAGATGTTTCTTGGGCTAGTAATGTTTTTGAAGGATATGTCATGGCAGTTTCTGGAACCAAGGAGACACCTGTGATCATTTGTTTAAACCCAGTCTATAGCACAGTCGACAGTCTTGCCTGTCCTCATTTCTGGGCACAGACAACCGGCCAGACAACCAGCCAGACAACCTTGCCATTCCAAGGAGGGGCTGGGGTGGGATGCCAGCAACTCAGCGGCGCCAGTCCATCAAAGCCCCTGAGTTCTTGCCGTGATCAAAGCCAGCTGCCCAAACCCTGTACTCAAAGGCAAGAAACTCCTATCTGTGAATCACCTGCTGGCCATCCAAGCTTCAGGAGGAGTCCCTAAAGACAAGGAGGCATGTGATGGGATCTTAGCTTGATGATTTCTATCCACTTGCACATCAATTTGGCAGGAGGAGACTCTGAAAAACGAGTATGTCTCTCCACAGATGAGGACCTGGTGTGGCCATATACACTCTCCTCTCTGTTCACTGGGATATGAATTGAGTTCTGAGGGGAGGACTCACCTGAGAAAGGGTAGGGGAAACAGGGGCGGACTCTGAATAGTCCATTCCTTGTGGCCTTTTCATATTAAGGAGGAATGTGATTAACAGAGTTTGAAAATTGCATGGTATTCCATCAGGTAAATCTTTTAAAATTCTCATTGTTTAAAGAATTAAAAAGCACATCTCTCAAGCCAGAGAGCAAGGCTATTATCCATGCGGTTTGGGCAGGAGTTCTATATAATTTAAAGCAAAGGGAGAGTTTTTCTTATTGTAATTTAGAAACAATTCTCCCCTGAGAGACCAAGAGGTCACAAAAATTAGAATAATGTAACTAGAAAGCCTCTTAATGATGTTTTTCCCAGTTGGAGGATGTTATTATGTATTTGGCTAATGCACAGTATGTTACTGGGCTGTGGTTAATAGGAAAAAGCATTTTTATGTGTTTTACTTTTAGATTCAGATGTTGAACAAAAATAATAAAGTATATTCTCACAGGCTGTAATTTCACTCAAACGGCCTCAGTATTAAAGTAGATCAGTCTTATGAAGCTCCCTTTAAAATATGAGATTAAAGGACTTCCCTGGTGGTTCAGTCGTTAAGAATCTGCCTGTCAATGCATGGGACATGGGTTCAATCCCTGGGTCTGGGAAGATTCAGATGACATGCCACAGAGCAACTAAGCCCGTCTACCCCAACTACTAAGCCCGCGCTTTAAGCCTATGCTCCACAACAAGAGAAGCCTGTGCGCCGCAACTAGAGAATAGCCCGGTCACTTGCTGCAACTAGAGAAAACTCATGCAGAAACAAAGACCCAGCAGAGCTGACAGATAAATAATAAAAAATTTTAGAGATGTTAAGAAAAATAAGATATGGGATTAAAGGAACTAGTAAATGGGCAAGAATATGGTGGCATTCTTTCCAAGGTGATTTTTTTCAAATTTCGCCAGTTTTCAGTTTTCCCACAATGTGTATTTTAGCACTCAAAGCATTCCAATCACATTAGAAAAACAATTACTTTTTTTTAAATTAATTCATTTTATTTTTAGAACAACATAAGATACAGCTCAAATCCACTTGGCAATAAATATCTTAATAAATATAACATAAATAAATATAAGTTAGTTCACACGCTTTCATGAACACAAAATTATATAAATAAATACTTTAAAATAAATTATGTTTGAGTGTTTGTTTCTACAAACACTTTGGTACTAAAATAGCTTATAATTCCTTGCTCTTCTTTTAAAGGGAAAAAAAAGAAAACACGTTCTGTGAGGACATTTTCCCTCATCAATTTTCTCATGAAAACTTATAAAAATAACTTATCCCTAGTAAATATGAAATAGACTTGATCAAAAGAATCATGTGGATAGAACAGTCACATTCTGCAAGTCTGGAAAGATGACTCATGGAAACAAGCATGAGAATTCTGTACCAGCTTCAGTAGGGACAGGTCCAGCCACCCCCTCCCCAGTTCTTAACCCATGCCCGATTACAATCTCTTTGGTTCCAATTTTTCTAAAAATGATTTTAAGGTTAGGAGAGACCTCAGCATTCTAGGAAGAACTCAGATAGCTCATCATTCTGTCGATGGTCACCGCACGAATTCTGAAGGCATGAAGAAGGATGCAGAGCTTGACTTTTGTCTTGTAAAAATCCATTTCTTCCAGGGAGGGTTTCTGTGGCACAGTCTCACTGTTGAAATTCAGGGCCTAGGAGAATAAATATTGAGCATGACATAGACGGTATTCCAAAATTAAAACGTTCATCTGTAAAAACGAGTGAAGCCGATACATGTCTCAGAGCCTGCAACCCACTCCCACATTCCCTCTCCTAAACCCAACGCAAATCCACTCCCAGCCAGATGGGCAGGCAGAACCTGAGGGAAGAAGTGCTCATTATCCAAGCACATGGATCTTCAGTGAGCTCTGAAAAGAGCCTGAAAGCTATTTAGAAAATCATCAGTGGGAGTTGCATTTTAGAAAGGAACAATTCTGTTAAGAGACATCTGCTATGATATCCAATTAATTTTTGTCTGTTACATTAAGAAGCTATGTCCTTTTCAGAAGAGGGAGGTGATGCATTGCTACTGATCGGAAACTGTCTGTCAGTATCAGACCTGCTGGCTCCAGATGCTCAGCCATGTGAGCTAAATCAACCTGGTACTGGGTCTCCCAGTTTGAGCCCTTTAATTTGATAACACAACGCAAGACTGTGTGCTCAGATGCTCAGCTGTGTCTGACTCTTTGTGACTCCATGGACTCTAGCCATCAGGCTCCTCTGTCCATGGGATTATCCAGGCAAGAAGACTGGAGTGGGTAACTATTTCCTCTGCCAGGGGATCTTCCCGACTCAGGGATAGAACTTGGGTCTCCTGCATTGGCAGGCAGGTTCTTTACTGCTGTGCCACCTGGGAAGCCTGTATATTTGCACAATGATTGGCATTTTTGCTTGTACTTCCTCACAAAAAGCCCAAAAGAAATGTAGAGTGGGGTCATCACCCCATTTCACAGAGGAAGAAACTGAGGCACAGAGGTACAGAATGTCTGGGCATAGTTGTCTGATTACTGGTGGAACTGACTCCATTCTTGGTCCTGAAAATAAAATGTCATCTACAACTGTCTGGATGGTAACATTCTTTGATACTTGCATGATGTCCACTGCCTTTCAAACAAGTAATTTGGCACCAAAAAAAGAAAAAACAAGAATGAATGAAATAAAAATAAATTTCTTTTCAGATAATCATTCTTGACGCTGTATTTATCCCATGCCCTGGTCACCACAGCAGCACCCTGCTCTTTATTAAGTGGTTATTTCTGTGTTTCACATTAGCATCATGTGCTCTGGTGATTCAGGAAATAACAAGGCAAGTTCTTGTCTCTGAGTTACACTGTGGACATCCCCAGGTGATAAGTCATTTCTCTCTTTCACCCTCATTTCGGTTCCGGATGGGTCCTATCCGGGCACTAGACTAGTGTGTCTTTACTAACAGTATTTGCAGATATGCATGGCCCCCACCATGAGCATTGCAGAGGTTTTAGAGATGTGTGAGAAGATGAGTGGAGCGGAATCCCTTTTCGGAGGTTTAAATCCTACCTCTGCCATTTCCAAGCTGTGGGACCTCGGACAAGTGAACAACCCTCTAAGCATGGGATTCCTCCTTTCCACAGACCCCATGTGGTTGCTGTGGGGACAGCCCGCGTCCGAACATCTTTGCCCAGAGCCTGGGGCACACCACATGATCAACAAACAGTAGGCTGCTCTCCTAACGTGATCGGCTCATGTTGCCCACTCACTAGAGGGCGCCCTCGAGGCTGTCTCCCCTACAGCTGGCTTTTGAAGGTGGCATTTCAGGCCTCCCCCAATACAAGAAGGGCTGATGAGCCCTTCATCAGGGACCCTGGCTGGCTGTCTCAGCATGATGGACGGGAGGTCTTACCTGCATCAGCTCAGCAATAGCTGCCAGCATGTTCTGGTCTAGAAAGATCTGCCTCTTAGGATCCATCAGAAGCTTTGCATTCATGGCCTGGAACTCCATGTGGTACATCTTCAAGTCCTCGTAGATACTTTTAAGGCACAGGGTCTGGGTGATACAATGAAGTGGGGAAAGAACCATTGAAATGGGCCAAAAACATCCCCCAACCCCAATGTTGCATTTGAAGAAAGAATCTTGTGTCTTACTGTCATAAAAGAGGTCTTTCCAGAAGCCAGACAACTCCCATGCTATAAGAAAAAAATAATGAGATATCAATGATATGAATTCATAATATGAGCTGAAACCTTCAATTTTCTGACTTACAGTTATTAAAGATGTCTCTCTGGAAACCAGGCAACTCTCATTCTAGAGCAAAAAAAAAAAAAAAAAAATCACACATTGAAAAGATACTAATTCTTAATATAAATTTTTTTGACTCCTCAAACATCAAATTTTTTCACTTTGGTAAAAAACACACATAAAATTTATCATCTTAACTATTTTAAAGTGTATAGTTCAGTAGTGTTATGTATATTTTACACTGTTGTAAAAAATTACACTGTTGTAAAAAACCACATATTTTTACACATTTTTGTTTCAAGTTGAACTTCAACAATGGGGCCTGTTAACATCCCATGAGGATGGAGCCCAGAAGCATGCACATTTTTGGAAGAAGATGAGACCTGATGCACAGCCCTTAATCATGTTATAAGCTTTGGAAGGAAAATCCTCTATACCGTGGCTAATTCCAGGGGTAAACAGGCCTCCACTGTGCTGGTTTTATCTTTGGTGATATCTTCATGATCGATCTCCTCAGAAGTGCAGGAGTAAAATTCTAGGGTTTGTCTGGCCTGTAAAATATAAAAAAATCTCAGCTTATGATATTAGTAAGGCACCAGGCTCCCCATAATGCTGGCACCAAAGCAAGAGTTGGCTGCCTTTGACCGCCATCTCTGACCTGTAGAAAATTCAAGGTCTTCATAAGACCAAAGAAACGGGTCATTGACACTCTCTCCCATTCCCTCCTCTCCTTTTGCTTATGACATGTTTCTCCGGATGATATCTTTTTCCGTTATGTAAATACCATAAATCATTTCAACAGGCTGTGCTAATCAGCCTCTACACCATGCTGGGACACTTGCTTCTGGTGAAAACAGTTTTTTTTTTCCTTTTGCCAAAGCATCTGTGTTTTATGAATATCTTTTTCAAATATAGCTTCTAGAGGGGGATTGTTAAGGTCACCACTTGATGGATATATCCAACATGCAACCATGAAAACAAGTGGAGATTTAATGTGTAGTATATACACACACACACCATCTTACCAGCATGCTGAACACATTTATGAAATTTAGTTTAAGAAGTCAATGATTTGTTGATTAAAGATTGAGATCATTTTTCCATTCAACAAGCCTGATATATTCTATGCTAGGTACTAAGGAACGTGACAAAGAAGGGGGTTGTATTATTCCCGCCAGGATTCCCAGTTCAGCTGTGGAGACAGGCCAGTGCCCAAATGACCAGGGGACATGCCAGCAGGTGAGAAGGGCTAAACTGAAGGGTCAGAAGGCTCTGAAAAGGGAGTGGAAAGAGATGAAAAGGTGCCCCAGGGATGGGACATCCTCAGAGGAGGGGGATCGTCAGGCAGAGGGAACAGCATAGGGCATGAATCAAAGCTTGAGACTACAGGACACGTGTGGCAACAAGTAGTAAAGCTTGCTACCCTGTCTGCGGTAGGAAGAAAAATGCCCCCGCCAGAGATATCCACCTCCCAACCCCTAGAACCTGAGACTATGTCACATTATGTGGCAAGGGGGAATTAAGGTTGCAGATGAAATTAAGGTTGCTAATCAGCTGACTCTGAAATAGATTATCCTGGAGTGTCTGGGTGGGTCTAGTGTAATCTCTGGGGCCTTGTAAATGGAAGAAAGAGGCTGGAGAGTCAAGGTCAGAGAGATGAAGCATGAGAAAGACTCATTTGTTGGCTTTGAGGATGGAAGAGGGCCACCAAGGAATGTGGGCTGCTTCTAGACGTTGGAAAAGGCAAGAAAATGAATTCTTCTCTAGAGTCTCCAGAAAGAGATACAGCTCTGCTGACACCTTGATTTTAGACCAGTGAGACCCATTTCGGATTTCTGACCTCCAGGGCTGTATGATAATAAGTTTGTGTTGCTTAAAGCCATTAAGTTTGCGGTAATTTGTTACAGCAGCAATAGAAAATGAATACACTGCTCCTGGAGGCCTGAGCAGGTTGTAAAAAGTTAGATTTGCAACTACACTGCAACAAGAAAAAGAAAACAATCTCCAAATAAGACAATAGCTTTATTTCTGTGATAACTGCTTCCCTTTATTCCAAAATGAAACAGTGACTATCTATATTATTATGGCATTGTTAAAAAAGATGAATCTATGAAATAGTGCCTGGCATACAGTAGGCACTCAATAAGTACTTTTTAAATGAAAAAATGAATAAATAGAGCAAAAAAAAAATTATATATATATATATTTGGAAATGTGGGTCCAACTGCTATAGTTCTTCAAATCTTTTCAGGAGAAGCTAGAAATCTGGATTCTTATATGAACGGTCTACTTTTTCAATGACATCAAACTCAAAAATTAAAATAAACTATAAAAGACACTGGCCAGACTTGACAGATCTGTGGACTGGATATGGCCTCTGAATCACATGCATTTGCCACCTCTGTTTTCTCCACAAGTAGCCAGCTGATTTGTTCTGGCAAACTCGACACAGGAATCCTATTAAAAAATCAAATTGAGTTCTGTGATCTTCTAAACTTTGGTGCTACCTCTGGGGAGTAGAAGAGTCAAATTTTTCACATGAAGCATCTATTTAAATCAGAGCTCCTAAATTTTACCCATACCAAACTTTTCTTTAGGAATCAAAGGACTTATCTCTGCAGTTTTCACTTGGTGAGCTGCCTTTTTAATTAAGATGGATTGAACTGTAAGGAAAAATGGGCAGCCCATTATGAAAGGTTGCGGGGGCGGGGGGTGGGAAGAGTTCCTTAAGAAGAACTCGTGGCACTGAGCTTACTTTAAGACATTCATAAAGCAACAAGCTAGAAATATTCCAGAAAGATTTACTAGAGAGCAGGAAGGTCAAAGGACATCTTTAAAAACATCAGTTTAGGCTGTTGCAGCCAAAGCAATAGATGTTGGAGTGTTTTTAAAGGAAGAAGAAAAAAAATTTTTTTGCATTAAAATGTGAAAGCTAAAAAAAAAAAAATGAAGCTTTAAATAAAATTAGATAATTCACCCCCTAGAAAAGGAAGTCTGGACATGCACTTTCACAAGCCCCCTGAAATGTGTTACTCTGACAACAAACAGAGCCACCAGCCTGGAAGCTGGCGAGGAGCATGAAGGGGCAGGGCCGATTCATCTTTGTAGCCCCCGGAGCACAGAGGCTGCCCCTAATAACAGTTTCCTGGATTGATAAGTTGTCAGAGGAACAGTGTGGGCCTGACACAATTCCATCTCTGTTGGCAGGCTACAGGGAACACTGTAAATATCCACTTTCCTCTGTGTAGGCACAGCCAAAACGAATGCCATTGTAATTTATGACCTCTCCTGCCTTCTCTGGAGACACAATTTCATTGAGACTCTTAAGCTAATAGTTGGGCCATTTGTAAAGTTCCCTCTTTCTCTCTTGACAGCTCCTGATTAACTTCCACAATTTCCCCGCAGTTCCTTCAGGTGACCAGGGGTTCAGAGGTGTCCCTTCACTAGAGAGACTGCAGTGGAAACAAGGTGGGAACAAGGACAATGAAAAGCTCACCTTCTGCAGCGTGTCGCTGACGGCCCTCAGCAGGTTTTGGGAGTAGTTGAGGCAACTCCTTCCTGGGCCTGCTGTGGTCGGGGGGAGGCTCCTGCCCAAACTGAGGTGGGGCAGGTGGTGGAGGAAGACCAGGGTGGACAGGAGGAGGAGGCCTGCAATGGAATCCAGGGCAAGAATGAGCAGGCCGACCTCCACCTTCCATCTCCTCTGGCCATCTCCGCCGATCTCCTTCCTGGGCACCAGCCTCCCACTGATCTTTCAGAAACTGAGAGATGATGAATCAAGCTCTTGAAGGGCAGTGCTCTGTTCTAGGGCTGAAAGCCAACTCACAGACACTATTGCCTTGTGAGTTCAGACCAGGGCGCAGGGCAGAGTTCACCCAGAAAAAGTCTCCGTTTCAGGAAGAGGGAAAGCGAGGCCAGGTGGGGAAGCCACCCAGTGTTTTGGAAACAGTGGTGAGACATAGACTTGCTTTGAAGCCAACTGGCTGGGATCTGTCCTCTTAATGGGGTCGCCAAGGGAGCCTGGGCAAGAAATTATCCTGCGGGGCCTCAGTTTCTCTTCTGCGAAGTGGGCATAATACTTAGCTCCTGGGTTAAGAGAGAGGATGTCTTATCGGGCGCAGGATAAGCCCTCAGTGTCTCCCTGCATCCTTCCTTCTCTGCACGAAATTGCCATCTTCCAGTCTCCACGTAGCCCATCCCAAGTTTCTGCCGCCCGGCCGCGGTCCCCCAACCTGAGGGCGAGGCTGGTTACTCACTGCGAAGCGGGCACATGCTGAGCGGAGCGGCGGGGACGCGGAACCGAGCCGGCAGCTGGATGCAGACGGGTGCACGCGGCAGGTGAGGGTGGTGGTTGGGAGGCCAAGCCAGGGGTCACATTTTTATAATTGCCCGAGGCGCGGTAGGACTTTCCCGGGACTCTGATCTCTTGCTTGCTTTCTCTCTCTGTCTCTCTCTACATCAGCTTCTCGATGACACGTGGAGTCTAGCCCGCGGGGCTGGAGCGCTTTCGGATTAACTCCCCGTGCGCCCGGCCGCAGTCGTTCCGGGACGGCCCCGCCGCCTCCGGCCTGGCCCAAAACGAAAGTGAAATTCGGCGCAGCGTCGCGGCGCAGGGTCCCCGGGCAAGCCCGACCCCTGGCTCGCCCCCCTCGGACGCCCCCCGCCCCCAGCTCCCCAGCCCTGGCCCCACCGCTCCGCAGCGCCCCCTCCCGACGGAACGCCGAGTAAGGCCATCCCCCGTCCATCCAAATCTAGGATGAGATCTGACCTCTCGCCTAGGTCTGGATGGGGGTAGGCAAATCATTCAATCATCATTCATTTTTTTCAGATAGTCCACGGTGCGCCAGGGCGACACTGACGGGCACCCAGCAGTGACCTGGTCACTTTCGGCTCACTCCCACACCAAATCTGACTTAATGTGTTTTATTCCTGGGTACCATCTTAAATACCAAAAGGGATGAAACTCTTAGAGAATCCAGTTTCTTACAGCGTCCAGGAGAGAACCGTTAGAATTTAGTGGGATGGATGTACAGAGTCCTGGGAGGAGAGGTCGGAGAAAGGTTATCAAGGAGCCATGGCGTTGAGGAGGCAGCAAAAGCGCTCAGAAGGAGGGAGCCGCGACTTGATTGTTGACAGGGGAGTAGGCATTAGATGGGATGCGAGTTCTAGGTCGAGGGCGCAGGGATCAGACACACAGTTGGGGAAGGTAAAGGGAGGGGGTGATCTGGCAGTCCTGTACTGGGTGTGAGGGTGGAAAGGGTGAGGGTGCTGCGCTGTGAGGGTAGGGTCTGTGCTGGGAAGTGTACATTCTGCTGAGAATAGTGGGAAGCCTTCTAGGGTTTTAGGCAGGAGATGCGGTTGCATTTGCATGATGGGAAAATCAGCAGTAGTGTGGAGGATGGGGGCTTCCCTGGGGGCTCAAAGGTAAAGAATCTGCCTGCAGTGGAGGAAACCTGGGTTCAGTCCCTGGGTTGGGAAGATCCCCTGCAGGAGGAAGGCATGGCAACCCACTCCAGGATTCTTGCCTGGAGAGTTCCATGGACAGAGGAGCCTGGTGGGCTACAGTCCATGGGGTCACAAGGAGTCGGACACAACTGAGTGACTAACACACAAATGCGGGGGATGGGTCCCAGGGGTCAGGAGTGGAGGGCATGACCAAGCCCTATTCAGATTGGAGACTCAAGGGTGGGCAATGGAATCCTTAGGGTGGGGAGGGGCCAAGATTTGGTAACTCCTCAGGTGAGCAGGATAGGAAGGTGCCGAGGATGGCTGAAGAGAGGTTGTTCTGGTTCCTGCACAGGGGTTACTGTAAGAGGGGAGTGAGTTTGGAGGAGACACTGAGAAGTTCCACTTTGGATGTGTTGGGTTTGAGGTTCCTGTGGGACTTTTCAGTTCACTCATTTCTACCATGAGTGTTAGTCACCCTGGGTATGTATGAAAGGGAAGGGTGTGTTTGGTCATCCACTCAGAGCCTCCAATGGATCTGACTGCACTATGGCCCCAGGACTTCAGTGTTCAGTGTCCAGTGTCCACCTTTGGGCAGATGCACTCATCTTGTAGAGGGATAAGCCTTTTGGAATACAGGAGAGAAGAGTGGTGCTTCCTCTGGATCCCTGTTGAAGTCTGGATGGATGAGCTCATAGTAGGCCTTGAGATGTTACCCTGAATGCATGGCAGGGCAACCTTTACTAAAGATGTGGTGATGAAACCAATTAGGAGAAAGCTGTGTTAACCCCTCCTCTGATTCCAGCTCTCTCTTTTGTTGGTATCAGTCCCCTTAGCAGATCATCTGCTATGAGGTACCCACCACAGGGACTTTTAGATGTGTGTAAAATGAGACCAACAGTTGATCTCTAAGGCTCCTTCCAATGTGGTCTATGAATTACCCCCTTGGGGATGGAGAGCAATGCATTGTCAGAAACGGTTGCATCTGCAGGTTGTGTGAAGCAAATAAGGGGTTCTGAGCTATACTGTTGCCATGGGGATTTAGGATGGAGTTACGTATACTTAAAGTCAGAGTGAAATCAAGTTTAGCAGAGCCACTTCTCCCTTGGAAAGGCTGTCTCCTGTGAAAAAGAATTTCTGCAGCGTAAATGAGCATAGGGCCTCTGCTCAGAATGGATTCTTGGCCGCCGGACATGGTTGCTAACCTGTACTTTAGTGAAACAGTTCTCTGATGTGCTGCACATTCTGTAGCCAGGGTCAAAGGACAGCCTTCTTCTGAGATAACATCACTTTTCTATAAGAGGCATTCTTTGCCCATGATCGCTACTACATGATGTCTAGCACTATACTGGAAGTCTTGGCCAATGAGATAAGGAAAGAAAAAGAAATGAGA